GTCCAATATCCTTTATTGTGAAGTTGAAATTGGCTCTGAAATTGAGAAATGTTTATTGACAACCAGCGGTCCCTTCGTCGTGAAGTTGAACTTGCGTTGTCTGGAGTCCAATACCCTTCGTTGTGAAGTTGAAATTGGCTCTGAAATTGGGAAATGTTTATTGACAACCAGCGGTCCCTTCGTCGTGAAGTTGAACTTACGTTGTCTGGAGTCCAATATCCTTCATTGTGAAGTTGAAATTGGCTCTGAAATTGAGAAATGTTTGTTGACAACCAGCGGTCCTTTCGTCGTGAAGTTGAACTTGCGTTGTCTAGAGTCCAATATCCTTGGCTGTGAAGTTGAAATTGGCCCCGAAATCGGGAAATTATTTGTTGACAACCAGCGGTCCCTTCGTCGTGAAGTTGAACTTGCGTTGTCTCGAGTCCAATATCCTTCGTTGTGAAGTTGAAATGGGCTCTGAAATTGAGAAGTTATTTGTTGATAACCAGCGGTCCCTTCATCGTGAAGTTGAACTTGCGTTGTCTGGAGTCCAATATCCTTCGCTGTGAAGTTGAAATTGGCTCCGAAATTGGAAAATTATTTGTTGACAACCAGCGGTCCCTTCATCGTGAAGTTGAACTTGCATTGTCTCGAGTCTAATATCCTTCGCTGTGAAGTTTAAATTGGCTCCGAAATTGGGAAATTGTTTGTTGTCAACCAGCGGTCCCTTCGTCGTGAAGTTGAACTTACGTTGTCTGGAGTCCACTTTCCTTCGCTGTGAAGTTGAAATTGGCTCTAGAAGTGGAAAATTGTTTATTGACAACCAGCGGTCCCTTCGTCATGAAGTTGAACTTGCGTTGTCTGGAGTCCAATTTTCTTCACTGCGAAGTTGAAATAGACTCTGAATGAAATTGGAAAGTTGTTTGTTGACAGACAACTTTTCTTGACTTAAGTTGTGCTGTAAATTTCCTTTAAATGAATGATGGCCCCTTTCGCCAAATTTTGTGAGCCGGATATCTTTCGTCGTGGAATTGAAATCTGGCTTGAAAGTGTTAACTGGAAACATACTGCTCATGGTTGAGTTTGTGTCGAACTGGATTTGTTTTGAACTGGTTCTCGAACCTATCTGAAATTGGTTCTAAGATGTCAAGTCGGTTAAGGTGTAGCTTCTTACTGCCGAGTTAATCAACCACCATCCTTCTTTGAAGGCACTTGAGAATCGAGTATCCTTCATCCTGAAGTCAAAACTTGACTCTAAAAGCTGCAAAAACGTGTATGCTAAAATGATGAATGTGATGCACCTAAGTATGTTTAAGATGCATGCAATATGGATGAATTATGTGTTATCTTCTGGATGGAGTGTCGTGCTTTGTCTGTCAATCAGGTCCTTGGAATGGATCGTGCCCCATTTGCTTCCCGAGCTTTGGCTTTACATACCTTTCATATCTAAGACTGTTCTGCTTGAAAATGTTTTTCTCCTTTTTCTTGTTTTAGGAGAGAGACATGATAAAAATGTTGTAAAATATTGTTCGCAATTGAATCAAATTGTAAATGTGAGTTCAAAAAATATCAAAGGAATCAAGAGCTCTTTTAATTCTTTCAGAGTTACAAATCTTTGACAAATGTTCAAATGGATGAGTTGGCCTTAGGTTGGCCTCCTTTATAAGGTTTTGGTAACCCAAAATGTCATTTTTTAAATATCGCAACATGCTTTGGTATTTCAATTGGGTGCGGACAAAATGACGCAACTAGCATTATCAATTACTAGACCTTTTATTTCGGTCCTCTGAAATCTTCCATTTGTTCAAGCTTTGTAGGCTCCTCTAACGAAGACAGTGCAAAAATATCGGTCTAAAAATGAAATTCTTGAGTGCTCGTGTGAAATTGACTATAACAGGTGTTCCTTAATTCCCTTAGTCCATTTTACCGAAACTTTACGCTTAGATAAATTTGATTTAATTTACCATTATCTGGCTAGCTGAATCCATAAATCCGGGGCGTTTAACCAATTGCTTTAGAGGGACAACTTATCATTATAATCATTTTTATCAAGTTAACTGAAGGGTTCATCTCATCACAAAGTCTTCGGCCTGACAAAAATAGTGGAGCAAACACCGAATTGCCAAGTGTCCGAGCAATGTCATGGTTTGAATGACATCTATTCATAAAGCCAGGGCTTTCGAGTTTCCTCTATAACCAATTGCCTTAGTGGAATAGCTCAGTTTTACGGATTAAATTTCTTAAGATTGTCAAGAAGAACCTGTTATAGTCTAGGTGTTTGTTGAAAGTAAAAAATTTCATCTTTAGAGTTCAATTTTCAAGCAACTGACCTAAACTAGATTCACTTACTCAACTATTCCATATGAGAAGATCATTATCATCACTGAACGTCTTAAATAAAAAGTATAATAATGTCATATGCAAAAGGATGCCCCATGTTGTCCGCACCTTATGAAAGGAAAATGTTATATTGGTTAATTACAAGAGCAGGGTACGGTGTTTGAGTGTATATTCTGGGTAAAGTCAAATTCCTTGTTTTAAATTATGTTACTTTGTCAAAGATATGTAACTTTGAACCATTTTAGAGTTTCTTAATTCAGATGATAGTCAAAGAATTGCAAGTTTGCAAATGTGATTCATTGTTTAACATCTTTAAAGTAACATAAATTTATTTAAAAGTCCTTACAAAAACTTGAGAAAAAAAATAAAAATGAAAAACAAATTCAAACAAAATGTCTCAAATGATGAAATGGTCTTCCTCACTTGGATGCCCCCAAGTTGTTGAAGTCGATCCGATTCTTGTTACGTATTTTATGTATGATTCTCTTGATTGTGGAGTAATTCTCGATAGTGCGCCCTGAGACTCCGCTATGATTTTCGCAATGAGCGTTCTCATCATACTACCTGGGGTACGGGGCTACATGGATTTCTCTGGATATGGTGACACCACGTGTGCGTCAAACAACTGTTGGTAAAGCTCCTTATATATCATAGGATCAAAATGTTCTCATTTTTGATGAGACATGTGAATGTAAAAAAAAAAGGAAAAATAATGCGAATGTAAAGAAATATAACAAAATGCACAATATGTCTGAATGCATGAAATGTTCGAGGCATTGATCCAAAAAATGTACCTGTTATTATAAATAATCCTTATTGGGGCAAAAGTGTTACGTCTTAAGAGACAAAAATATTTTGAAGGCATAGACCCCGAACAACTTCTGATAGGTTGACTAGTATTCTGCCTTCGTCTGTCACCGGTTGAATACCCTGTCAAACCGTTCCGGCTCCTTTGGATAAAATGTGCAAATAACGAGCTGCTTGCCCCCAAAAGGTCTCGAAGGACTGCATCGCCGGCTTTCACTCTATGTTGAGCTTGTTCCAAACGAAAGTGCCATCGGAGCTCTCCACCCAAAGTGTATCGACTTGTTTCTAGAATTTATCAATAATGATCTCCAGCTTAGCTAGGGTTTCGCCATCTTGATCTCGCAGTTTTCGAAAGGACTCTCCGGGTCAGTAACATTTTCCTCGTCTTGCCCCTGCACCCTTTGCCTCCGAGTATTCTTTGACCACGGCTGGGCTTCTGAGCTTTTTATCTCTTTGTATTATAATCCCTTTGTCCATTAATGCAGATTATTCATGTTTAACAAACACATTTTTGGTGGATCAACACCTCGTTTTAAATGATGCGAATGATGAAAACAAAATGAAATAGAACAAAAAATAAAAGGGGTTAGTGAGGTAAATCAAAATAAAAAATCCTACCCCACATGATAATCTACCCGAACATGCTTAATATTCCTACCCGGACATGATCTCTATCCCGCATGCTAATTTCAAACAAATCCTAGCCGCATATTTGTCTAGTTCGTATGCTTTGAACAGAAAGTAAAGCAGGAAATAATTCCGGCATCCTAGGGTTTGAAATGAGGTTTTGAGGTGGGCTCTAACTCCTTGTAGTCTCCCGAGTTAGGTTCTAAAAAAACGGTACCCGAGTTCTCCTTGCTGGTGCCCCCTTGGGCTTGCCAGACCCTTAGTATTAAGCCCATTACAAGCTTATGTGGACTAAGTTAAACTTGAGAGGAAACATTCCCTTATGCCCGCACGGTGAATAAATTCACACGAAGACATAAGGTATATGAATCCCGAATGCTACTTGCTAGGCCCGCACGGTGAATAAATTCACACGAAGGCGTCGCTTTCACCCCCACTTAAATAGGGTTCAGAGCTCGGGTATAGAGCTAGAGATAGAAACTTTTCAAAAAATCTGAAATCATTGAACAAACGTCAATACAACTATTTACTTGAAAAATAATCAAAGTTAAATAAATGGAATCGAATAAATAAATTAAAATTTATAATTTTCGCATAAAAAGACAACCGAAAATTAATTCTGGCCTGACTCACTTACATGTCCCCAGCGGAGTCGCCAAGCTGTCGAAACAGTCTTTCGGTTGAGCCCCGAAATTGGGCTTCGACGTGAATAATTGGGTTAGGGAGTCGCCACCGACCATTTTAAACGAATTTAGGTAGGTCGGACATCATCTTACATGATCTGCATTTTACCAAAAATGTATCGGGTCCGGGAGTCCGTTACGGTCAAGGAAGGATTAGCACCCTTGAACCACCCTTTCGGTACCAATTAATTTGTCGGTTGTCTTAATTACGAAAATTAAAAATTAAAAATAAAATTTAAAAAGTTCGATTCAAATTAATTACCTTTGATTGATTGAAAATATCCCTAAAAAGTCAAAAATGTTAAATAAAGAATAATAAATAAATATTAAATAAATGAAAAGAAGGAAAAGAAAAAAATAATACTAAAATAAGGAAATAAAAACATTAAATAAATCAAAAGAAAAAAATGAAATAAAAAGTATTAAACTAAATGAAATAAATATAAAAAAGGAACCCATAGATGAAGGACCATATGTTGAATTTACCAAAAGTTCAAAAGCATTGTATTTTTTTGTTTGATCTCACGCATGCAGGAGCCTTTTCTAAGGCATTTGCAATTTAATTTAAAACAAACTTTCCCTGTTAGTGCTAGCAACCAAGCAACCTTCAGTGGTAGCCATGGGAACCGAGAACTCTCCTCCATTAAGCAACAACAGCCCAGCAATTCCCTCGGAAATCTGCAAGTACTCGATCGGCATCTCACAATGGAAACCCAAAATCGACTTGTAATCGAACCCCTTCAAGGGCAATCCAGACAATGACTTGCCCATTAATATCTGTAACGACTCACGCCTAATTGCAACCGCTCTCTTGCAATCACCTAATTCCGATTCCAACGAATACGAAGGAATTGTTCCCGCCACAACAGATTTAATTATCTCCTCGTCTTCCTCCGTTAAATCTGTCAAAGGCTTTTCATCGAACAATTTCTGGACAGCTAATGTAGAGAGCTATAGATGAGTATTCGATTATGTCGATTCGATCATCATCAAGCCTTGCATAGTTAAATCCTAGAAGATAATCAACTTGTTCTAATTGATATTGCAGGGCCATGGAGAAGGAAATTAGTAAAGCCTAAATCTCAACTCCATAAGTGGTTCTCAGTATTGGAGAAATAGCAGTAATTTGAAGTGAACATTACCTTTCTTTTTTAATCAAATCAGAAATTGATAAACATAGATGCAATGATAACATCATATAATTATTGTAAGATAAGCACTCCAAATCATCCAAACAAACCCGTGAAGAAATTCAAACAAAAGATTATTGAAAAATAAAATAAGAAGTAGGCCAAATACAACAGATCTAAAGTTCACATCACTTATCTCAATAGCGATTCTTAAGCTCCTCGAGTTGCTGGTTTAACTGCACGATTTTAACAAGAAAGCTAGTAACAGAGAAAAGGATCCAGTACAGAATAAGGGCAGCGACGATGAGGAATGCGTGGCGTTGGCTTAGATAACGTCTTTGGTCAGTCCGCTAATTCGATTGCTGGTTCAAACCGGTGGCTCCTTGGTTTTCAACAAGTAGTGATGGACATAATCCAGGTTCAAAGGATCCCAAAGTCGAGCCATCTATCAATCTTCTCTCCGTTGATGTTTTTGTTGTTGAAACTGGTGACGTTGAGACTCTAAAAAGCGCTGATTGGAAGTGGAAAACGTGTAGCGTTGGTGGTGGAATCGGGTTGAAGAAAAATGATGTTTAGTTCAACGTAAGATCAATGAAACCAAAATGCATCTCGAATGGATCCCAGTATTGTTGTTGATGATCGGTTTGAACCCCCCCCCTTCTGTCATGGACATATCACCTTATAAGCACATCCTTTGCTTTGGCTTCCCCCTTCCCAGATGTGAGTTGAGGAGATAATGGGTGGTTATGAATGTTGTAGGAGTAGTGGAGGTTGTTGAGTAGTTGGAAATGGGCCCTGCAAAAAAAATAAAAGAAATAATAATAATAATTAAATAAATAAATAAATAAATAAATAAATAATACAATAAAAATAAAAATATAAAACCCGGTCAAAAATGGGTGTCTAAAAGATGAAAACGAGATTGTTTCATTCATCAAATTTAGACGAAGCATTATGTAATTATTATTTTTAAAATGTTTACGCAAAAATACGGAAATAGAAGAGGTAGTAGCGTACTTCCACACTTGTAGTGGCGGGGGACACTTCGACCACAGCCTTGAATGAGGCGGATGGCACGGTTGAGGTCGATAATGGAGGCGATTCGTGGCGTGATGACGGGGCAAACGGATTCGTGGCGTGATGACGGGGCAAACGCATTCCAAGTGTGTGACCCTAACTCGCTGGCAGCAGTCAGGGGACGGAAACTTACCGTATACCACCGGCTTGCAAGCCGTGATGGCAAGGTTCCTTTCTTGATCGCACTGAGCCGCACTGAGTGTTGCAGCAGCCATCTCCACCTCCCACATGGCTGCAACTGCAACCACCAGTAACACCACAAATGCCAATGTACACTTACCTAGCTTTATCACCTAACCCACTTGGGCGCGCACACACACACATATAGCCGATGGGATTGGGCAGTATTCAGTGCGTGCAAACCACTCCCCACACCCACCAACCCATCTCTAGCGTGAGATTTGGTCACTTTATTCCATTTCTTTTTTAAAATTGAAAATTTTCTAACATATAAATTTTGTAAAAATATTGAATAATCTAGTGTAATTAGACTCAATAATATCTATCCATAATTTTTTTAACCTTTTGACAATGTGTAATATACAATTTATAGATACATCTGTTTCAACTTATATTATTTAAAAAAATAACATTGGTTTTTACCATTTAAGCCACTCAAATGGATTTAAATGTTATAAATTTTAATTTATATGATTATCTCTATTCTAATATTATGTGTCTTATTTAGAGTTTAGATTTTATGAATTTAGCATTTAAAGATTATAATTTTAGATTTAAGAAAGAATATTTTAAGTTTAAGATTTTAGGTTCAAGTATATAAACTTGTGTAAATTTTAGTTTACATAATTTGTGTATCAAACATCAATTTTTTAATAGTTTACATTAATTTATTTTAACTTTATATTTTTATATTAGTTTTTAATTTTGATTCTTTAATTTATTTTGATAAAGTGATTTTTTAGATTAATTTATGCGTTGGGAAATTATTACAAGACCTAGATCTGGTTACAACTATAACTTTGATTTTTTTAAACATTTATGCATTATTAGGTGTGGGTGGAGTTTGCCGATCCCGTTGTTGTAACATTAGGCTTAATTGGAGTGTTAAATTTTTCCTATGTTTCAGTATATAAATTATGTTTATTAAATAATTTTTAATCACTCAATTTATTTAATTTAAACAGAGATAAAAAGTATATATTACATAGTTTGAATTATTTGAATTTTTACTCATCTTCTCACATCAAGTTTAAATTAATACTATTTTCTTTATTTTGTACAAATTATTCAGTGGCAGGCCAATGAATTTACTTGAAAATTTGTTGACCACACCAATGAATTAAAACAAAAATATTATGCATCTATAAACCCTATTGAACAACACCTGAACTAGTGGGAATTTTAGCAAAATAAAGATTTTTTATTCAAAATTAAAATTAAAAAACCAAACAATAAATGTGGAAAAAATAATCACCCAAAGTAACATAACTTGATTCAACATAAGTTGTTCATTCAAAAGTACTTAGCCTAAATAGAGAATGACTCGGGCTGGAATTTGGCCATATCACTCTCATTCTGGGGTAAGGATCTAGGGTTCTGAAAATATTTTCAGACTGGCCATCCACCATTGCAGCACCAAGAAAACAATGAAGAGAACCACTCATGCGCAAGAAAAATCATGCAAGAATGCCATGGTTTGATTTCAAGTAAACAAGATGATGTATAATGAAGCAAACAGTTGAACCTAAATAAAGTTCCAACTGAATACCGATAAAAAATGAAAATTAAGCACATAGTACACACATCATTGTCTAAAAAAGATGTCAATTAAGCCACTTAACTAAAACACTCAAAACATCGTCATATCAAAGAAGAAGATATATCGATCACCGATGATGGCTCAGCTCTCAGTTTGCTCCCTCAGCCTCCTAATTGTACTCCTCACAGTCACGGCACTAGCAGTGCTGTTAAATTAACAAATGCAGCAACCAGTAAGTTACTTGGACATCCAAAGAGAAGAATTTGAAATGTGAAGGGAGTACAACATGGATCCTTACTTCATAGTATATGCACCACCGGCTTTGACTTTCCCGCAATCCTTGCAACCCCATATTCCGACAGCTTTTCTCTTCACTGCATACTGTGGGAACAAAGTTTATTAGAACAAATACATGCAACTCAAATAAACAAAGAAATGCACCAACATACAGGCAAAAAAAGGCCTCAGAAATATAGGATCGAATAGAAAACAAGCAGCCCACCCTTCCACAGAACTCACAGAAGTACTTGCTGTGTTGACTAACCTCCATCTTCTTAATCTGCTTCCTCAAACTAGCACCATAGCGGGTACCTTTATTATGAGGGGAAACAAGAAATTAGAAACTAATGGACCTTTTAAAGAGACAAAATCACATTAACATCTACCAAATCGAGAGTAATTTGGAAAAAACTTGGGAATGGCAGTAATTTAAAGCACAATCAAATAACAGAGATACTTAATAGTCTTGATCATTCCTATACTATGAATAGGTTCTGCTTAGAAGCTCTCTTTAGGAAAAACAAAGTAAGAAGTCATAAAATATCCTTACCATATTTTCCAACAATTCCAGCCTTCTTGGTTCTCTTTGTCTGGCATCATAAGAGAGGAAATGAGTTAATCATTTGCAACAAGAAACAACATAAACCGATTAACACGAATCAAACACATATTGGTTATAAACTTAAGCAATCCTAATGTAATTCCTTTCCTTCAACACTAGCCTTTTGATACTGAACCAAAATGCATAAATAAACACAGGAACAAGTCAAACGTATGAATAATCGACTAAATTTATTAACCCTAATCTTGTAATATGATAATCCAACTTTCCAACAGATTTCCTTTTGCTTCTTATTTGAAATAAGAAATGAAAATTATGAAGGGGGAACATGAAGACATTGTAGAACCAATCAAAACCAACACCAGAACTAGTACACAATTTCTAATTAAGCTAAAAAAAGAAGTTTATATATAATCTCCAATTTCTTCTACTTGTTTAGCTGACCATCTAATCCAAGAAACAACTTTCACAGAAAGCATTTCCTGAGGAAACAAACATATCCACGGACATACAAAACTGATAAAAAGAAATATTTTTTTCTGAAATAGAAAGAAGAGAAATACCATTGTTGGATTCGCAGGATCTCTGGCTGTCCGGTCTCTGAAGTGACGAGCTGCTCGTCCAGGGAATGCAACAGAATCAAAGAAGAATTAGGGTTTCTCCTGCTAGGCTTTTACGGAAACTAATCGACGGTATTTTTATGTTTAGGCCCATTTGTTATTCTAATATTCATGGCTGAGCAAGTTCAAGGCCCAAAGTGGTATTTTGTGCCATAAACCGATTACCTTTAATTTGTTGTTATTTTATATTCTCATCACAATTTAATTTCTATATTTTTTCAAAACTTTATAAGTTTAGTTTTTATTTGATGATAAAAGTGTAATATAAAATCACAATTACGAGTGATCTAAAAGTCTAAAGATTCTCAACTATTTAATAGTGAACCCTAGTAGTCTCTGGAATCTCTAAAAATAAAAATCATTTCTTGAACTGATGAGATAACTTAGTTCATACAATATTAAAGTTAAACTTGAGTACTGGAGAATCTAAAATTCAATCTCTGTTAATTATACTAGAAACCCATTCCCAATAAGTTTTACCTCCAAAGTGTTGTAATCTAAATGTTGAACTTGACATTTATATGTTAATTCGAACATGACTTTAATGATAGGTTCAATTGGGTTTAATGAATTATTTAACCGAGTGAAAATTAAACTCAAATCAAGTTAAAAGAAAGATTTTTAATCTGCATGCTAAATTGATAGGACCTATAAAGCAAAACACACCATTTGTGAAAATTATGCGTTAATTTCCTTTGTTTCCGATGTTTCATGTCCACCACAGTTCAATATTCAGTGTCTTTCTCTCATTCATGAACCATGTCCCGTCTTTTTCATTGCCTTAATTTCATAGTCTTAAGCACGCCACCGTTCAACATTTACCAAACGTAATTCTGGGTTTATTTAATTGTTTCTCGTCTGGCTTTTACTTTTCCTTGCTTGTTTCTACCCTTTCTTTTGATTCATTTGTTATATATTTTGCTTTTCCTTCACCATTTCCCACTCCCATGCACCTAGACTTTTCTGGGTCATCTTCTATCTACGTTTTCCTTCTTGGGTTCATTTTTCCTTTGATGATGATTCGTAAGGGTTGCAGTTTGTGAAACAATATGTTTGAGTTTTTACTAGAAAAAGATTTTGTTTTGATGAGAAGTAAAACATAGATATGAAGTGTTTCTCCATCTTCATCAAGGACAAATCAAATAACACCAAGAGAGAATCAAGAACCGATCCAGAATTTAGAAACCAAAGCAAATCGGACAATTCAGAACTGAGTCGAACTCGGACATCGAGCTCTTTGCCATCTCCAAGGAGCATACCCGATCAGCACAAAGAGAAAGAGAATAACTTGAGAGTTTTCTCCTTCCAAGAGTAGAGGGATGTAACACACGGTTTCAACAAGCTCTTGAAGATCGACGAGGGTGGCTTTGGTGGTGTCTATAAAGGAACAATTAGCCCTCCAAATGGTAAAGGTGAACCCATAGTTGTTGCTATCAAGAAGCTCAACACCCAGGGTTTACAGGTGAAACTGATGCAAAAACCATTACCTTTCTTTAAATTCAGCACTGAACAAAGATTTCATAGGAATTTGCAGACAAATTGGTGCAAGCAAAGATTTCTAATGTTGGACCATTAGAAAGAATCTCACTATTTTGAAAACTTGTTTATGTTTCTCATGGTGTATTTGGTAACCTTCATATAGGGTCATAAGGAATGGCTTGCGGAGGTTCAATTTCTGGGTGTCGTTAATCATCCGAACCAGTACAGAAGTGTATCAAGAGAATAAAAGTCTTCATTCATCTTTATGATTACATTGCTCTTGTTATTTATACAGCATACACACCATAACAAACTAGCTAAAGTTGTTTGTCTGCTAACTAACTATGTTGAGCTGGATAACAACCACGCTGAGCTGGCACCTTCCAGAATATGCTCAACATCCTCCCTACAGCTTCAGCTCTTCAGAACGATGCTCAACATCCTCCCTACTGATTCAGTTCTTCAAACTCTTCAAATGACCACACTCCTAGCTTCTATCGAAATGCAGCAAAATTATCCTTTGTCAACGCTTTAGTTAATCCATCAGCTACCTGATGTTCTGTAGGTACATAACTGACCTTCAACTTCCCTGCTGCCACTTTCTCCCTAACAAAATGAACATCAAGTTCAACATGCTTAGTTTTTGAGTGATATACTGGATTTTCACTCATGGTAATTGCACTTGAGTTATCACACCAAATAACTGGTGAAGCTTGCATTTGAATTCCCATGTCTGTTATTAACGCACTTAACCAAGTTACATCGGATGTCGTATCTGCCAAACTCCAATACTCAGCTTCAGTAGTAGACCTGGACACCGTCTTCTGTTTTCTTGAACTCCACATAACCAAATTGCCTCCTAGATACACACAACACCCTGATATGGAGCATCTGTCATCTACACTACCCCCCAATCAGCATCTGCAAATGCTGTTAGTTGAACCGGTTCATCACTCGGAGAGAAAACCAGTCCATAGTCAAGCGTTCCTCGAAGATATCGCAGGACTCGTTTCACTGCAGCAAAATGTTGTTCTCGGGGAGCATGCATAAATTGAGCCAGCTTATTCACACTAAACTCAATATCTGGCCTTGTATGACATGCATACAAGCGAGATCCCATTAGACTTCGATATTCCTTTGCATCATTTAGTTGGCCACCTGACTCTTTGAAGAGCTTAGGAGAGGATATCATAGGTGTAGGTGTTGAAGCGACACTCTCCATACTTGTCTTGGTTAACAGTTACATTATGTATTCCTTCTGACTTAGAAAAACAACACCTCTTGCATGCTTAACTTCAATACCAAGAAAGTAACTCAATTTACCAAGATCTTTTAAGCAGAATTTTTTATTCAATAGGTCAACCACCTTTTCAATCTCATTGTTTGAGCAACCTGTGATGATTATATCATCAACATAAACCAAGACATACAACACTTTCCCACTTTCGTGCTTAATAAAAAGCGAACTATCAGCCTGTGTACTTTTGAATCCAATGCTAAGCACATAACCTCTCAACTTAGCAAACCAGTTTCTCGGGACTTGTCTAAGTCCATACAATGCTTTATGTAATTTGCATACCAGACGAGAACCATCTAATGCTTTCTTCTCAAAGCTTTGAGGTTGTTACATGAAAACCTCCTCATGAAGATCTCCATTTAAAAAGGCATTATTCACATCTACTTGCCTTAGCTGCCAACTGTTTTGAACTGCAAGTGATAGTATGACATTGATGGTGGACGACTTGATGACTGGGCTGAAGGTTTCTTGAAAATCTTGGCCAGGAACTTGAGTAAAACCCTTGGCCACAAGCCTGGCCTTATACCTCTGAACAGTCCCATCAACATTTCTTTTCGTTCTAAAAATCCACTTGCAACCTACGACTGATCTCCCTTCAGGTAAAGAGACCAGCGACCATGTGTTATTTCGTTCCAGCGCTTCATATTCTTCATGGACTGCTTCCTTCCATTGAGGAGACTGCAACGCTTCATATATAGAGCATGGTTCTTTCTCAATTTCATTATGAACTATGGAGTAGAGCTTTGGCTTAAAAATGCCACATTTACTTCTGGTCATCATCGAATATCCAGTGACAGGAACAACCACTGATTGCATTTCATTACAATCGTGATGCATCTCTTGTGTACTACTTTGAGCCAGACCAACATCATCAGGTAGTAGACTTTGTGTGTTTCCCTCACTCGCATTCGAGTGTCTTATGCTTCTAGCTGAGCTCGAAGAAGAACTAGAACTAGACACTTGTTGTTCCTCATTTTGAGATCCCACGACAGAATCCATACTCAAGGTGGTTGACCCCTGTTGATTTTTATAGAGCATGCCCTGCTACACACAGACCCTTTCAGCACCATCAACTACAGGTAACTGCATGGGTGATTTTATAACATTTTGCCCACTATCTTGAACACAAGTATCTTGTTTACCTGCAAAGGGAAAGGACCGCTCATCAAAAGTGGCATGCCTTGATATATAGATTCTCCCATCAGAAGCCATGCACTGATACCCCTTGTGCTGTGAACTGTAACCAAGAAATATGCATGGTTGTGAGCGATAGCTTAGCTTGTGATTTTGATAGGGTCGAAGATGAGGAAATCACCTGCAACCAAAGACTTTCAGAAATTCATAGTCAGTTATTTTATTATGCAGCACTTCAAAAGGAGATTTTCCTTGCAAAACACGTGTGGGAAGTCGATTTATCAGATGAACTGCAGTGCTTACTGCATAGGACCAGAACTTAAACGGTAACAATGCTTGAGCCATCAACACAAGGGCTGACTCAATGATATGGCGATGTTTCCTTTCAACCACGCCATTCTGCTCAGAAGTGTGTGGGCAGGACAACCGATGATGAACACCTAATTTTGCCAAAAAAGATGAAATGGATCGATACTCACCCCCCAATCTGTTTGGACTTCCTTAATCACAATATTAAACTGAGTTTTAACCATTTCATGAAATGACTGATATGCCTGTAATGCTTGGTCTTTTGTTTTCAAAAAATACACCCAACAGTATCTTGTGCAAGCATCAACAAACGAAACATAATAATAAAAGTTATTTGAAGCAATATGAGAAGGTCCCCATAAAACTGAGAAAACAAGCTGGAAAGGGTTTGCATATACTGTAGAGGATTCATTGAAAGGAATCTTATGGCTTTTTCCCATCTTACAAGCAACACAAACACCATTATTAATAGCACTGGCATCAGTGGGAAACTCAAGACCAACATTTTTACAAGCCTTTACAAGAGAAGCATGTGCAGGATGCCCAAGTCTCATGTGCCACAAGACATAGGCATTTGTCAAATCAGCATGCACTTTATGAACTACATTTATTTCTAGACAACCACCTGTATTGCCATGTTGATCTCCTGTTGTAGCATCAAATTGATATAAACCTCCACTCTCTCACCCTTGTAACAACACCGCACCAATAGCTTTATCTCTAACTAGACAACTCTTGGCATGAAATTCAAAGTAGACATCATTGTCTCTAGCAAACTTTGAGACAGAAAGCAGATTTTTTGTTACAAAAGGAACATGAAGCAGATTATGAAGAAATAAAGTTCGATTCTTAGTAGTAAGCTTAACAGTTCCAGCCTTGCATATGTCTAAAAAATTATCATTACCTACAACCAGCTTACCTGGACCAGAGTAATCCGAGCCATCAACCACCTTAGAAGCTTCAGGTGTGACATGATGTGTAGCCCCCGAGTCTATCACCCATCTATCTGAAGTTGACGAGGGGACATGTGCTTGGGACTGAGTATTGTTGTTGCGCGAGATATAACTATTTGCCATCTCACACGAGTTAACACGCACATCAGTAGACTCATCGTTGTACTCATCTTTGTGTGCTAAAACCCCTGGAAAACTTTGATCAAATCGATGCCAGCATCTATCCACCGAATGGCCAATTTTACCGCATATTTGGCACTGAAGTTTAGAGCGTCCTCGACCACGAGCTCCTGATCTAGCTCCAGTCCTTCCATTCGAACTATAAGGCCGATTGTACTGACTAGCGCGTCCAGAATCTGGATTACTGTTATGCATGTGAACAACATTTGCACTCATTGTCACTTGATTTTGAATCTGAAAACTCTTGAGTTGCGCCTCAGCATCAACCAACACAACTTTTACTCCATCAAGCGAGAATGCTTCTTTACTCGCAGTGATAACCGCCATAAATGGTTGATAGTCAAACAGTAAGCCATTCAATATGGTTGCTATCTGTTCAAGATCTGAGACTGCACTTCCACATGCAGCCAACGCATCGCATACTTCTTTGATTTGAGTAAGATACGATCTAATACTCTCATCACCTTTCTTAATTGCTCGCAGCTTGCAATGAAGGCTCATTACCGTTGTTGTCGACCGATTGGCAAAGAACTTGAGAACGGTGGACCATACATCCGCAGTAGTTTCTGCACCAACAAATTGAGGAAGTATGTGATCACTAATTGTGGACAACAACCATTAAGTTAAAGCACTGTCCTGTGCAACAAAGATTTCATAATCTTCATTGGTCACAAGACTGCCATCACCAGACTGAATCTGCGCCGGTGGAGGTTTCAATTCACCAGTGAGTAAACGTTCCAAGCGATGACTCCTTACTGTCAAGAGAACTTGTTGTTTCCATAATAGAAAGTTCATTTCATCAAGAACTATGTTGATCTTCTTGTTTGTGAATAGACGATTGCTTCTCGAGGAGTCTCCAACAACCAAACTGTGCTCAACATCCTCAGGTGCCATAACCGAAAAAAAAATGAAAGGAATCACGAGAAGCAATCAAACCAGCAGCTATCAGAGAAGCAACGGAAAGACAACGCCTCCAAGATCAATGGCGAAAGATACCATGTTGAGAAAGCAGTACAGAAATGTATCAAGAGAATAAAAGTCTTCATTCATCTTTATGATTACATTGCTCTTGTTATTTATATAGCATACACACCATAACAAACTAGCTAAAGTTGTTAGTCTGCTAACTAACTATGCTGAGCTGGATAACAACCACGCTGAGCTGGTACCTTCCAGAATATGCTCAACATCCTCCCTACAGCTTCAGCTCTTCTGAACGATGCTCAACAACGGCGAACGAGGGATACATCGGTTGTTGGTGTACGAATTCATGTCGAACCGGAGCTTAGAAGATCATCTTTTCAACAGGGCACCTACTTTGCCTTGGAAAACAAGATTAGAGGTCATGCTTGGTACAGCACAAGGTTTGGCTTATCTACACGAGGGATTGGAAATGAAGGTACAATCTTCTTCTATTCAGATGGCTTTCACCAAAAGCACCCATTCTTCACTTCTCTTTACATTACAACTAATGCACTTAATCTGCCCTGTGTTGTTTCCAAAGGTGATATATCGAGATTTCAAGCCCTCAAATGTGCTCTTGGATGAAAGTTTTAAGCCGAAGCTCTCGGATTTCGGGCTTGCAAGGGAAGGGCCAGCCGTTGACCGTACTCTCGTGTCCACTGCAGTATGTATATCTTAAGTTTTGTGTATAGTACTTAATGAATCTTCACTTACTTTAGTGTCTGCAAAGCATCTCCATTGCACGTTGGCTCCACGGTCCATTAAGTGGTGGTGTACTATTAGCACTAATAAGCCTCTTTTAGCTGTTTTGAACATTAGGCACTCATTATCATTAGGATACTAAATTAATCTTTTATTTTCGTTAAAGGTGGTCGGAACATACGGATATGATGCCCCGGAATATGTGAGAACAGGCCATCTTACAATCCAAAGTGATATATGGACTTTTGAGGTGGTACGTACTTTACGAGATCCTCACCGGAAGATGAGTGGTGGAAAGAAACCGGCTAACATCGGAACAGAAGCTTTTAGATTTGGTGAAACAGTTCCCTCCTGATATTAGAAAATTCAGCATGATAATGAACCCTCGACTCGGAAACAGATATTCTTTGAGTGCAGCTCAAAAGCTGATATCTGCCTAAACAAAAATGCCAAGAAAAGACCAACAATGAGTCAGGTGGCAGAGAGCTTGAAGCAAGCAATACAAGAATCATCAGAAGGAAGGTCTTCATCGGGAAATGGTGGTCGAAGATCGAAATAAGGTTCGGTATGAGTGAATTTCTGATCTGATCTTCAGCAGATAGCCAATCAAGACAGCTCATATTACTGTGACTGATCATATATTCGTAAATCAGAGTAGCCATTGTATGTTGTTGATAAAAAGGGTTCCTTCTTTTGAAAGAAACAATAATAGTAATAAAAATCTATTTTGTTGGTCCATCATTTGGGCCACTATGGCATTAGATAATCGTTTTCTCATGCTGCTGGCGCAACAAGTGAGATACTGTCTAAATAAATAAGGATTTGTTAATACGACATATGTACAAAGTTAAAAGGGAGATTTTGATTAGTGTATGACACCGACACACAGTTAACGTATTCGAATATATATCAAATATTTAAGAATGCAATAAAATTTAAAAAATATATTGAACACAATCAAATACATATAAGACTACGTAAAAGCGAGATTTTGATCGTCGAAAACATCATGTCATGCATGTTTTTACTGAACCGCAAGTAGACTAAAAAAACTTAATCATTGGTTGATACCGATCGTGAATCCATCCCTCTACGAGTCAGATCAAAGGAATGTAGCCTTAGTAACTCCAAAGATTTCGATAAATGAAGGATTGACCGTAAAGATGTGATTTACGGAGAAGATCTAAAGCAGCATATTAGAAGTGTAAATAAATGAAGTACAAATAAGAGCATCAATACATTGAAATGAGCTGATTCAACCTTCATAGGTGACCAAAACAATTGGAAGAAGAAAAAAAAATGTTGTTGCCCAAGTAGAATGAAATCTCCATATAATTCATGGAGATATAATCCTTTTTATTGTGTTTTGACCCATCTGCTAGTTTTCCGTATAATGCAAAAAATTATGATGTTAATAATAACAATCTTTGCTCTGTTTTTTTTCTATGATACACTAATTATATACTGTTGTGTATCGACTCTGTACATTGTTTCTATACAAGAGCAGCCTCCTTTTTCTCAACGTTCTTGTCCCTGATAAACCCAATGTAAAGATTTGTGCCACAGCTGTCGCACTCGGCGATCTTTCTTCCTCCTTCCGACATGTTCTTCACGAACTCAACTAAATGCCTCCAGTTGTCCCCTTCGAACAACTTTTTGTTCATTCTTAAGTATGTAAATGCACTCAATCCGTTGCCTGAATCCGATCTACTGGTCGCCAAAACCTGTGAATATCCACCAGCATCATATCTCTCGAGTGCATTTTCTCCGGCGAGTTCAACGTTGGCCGTCTTTGTTGCCATCTTTACTTGCCGGACCAATCCCTCGGGTGAACAGTTCGCATATGCAGGCTGTTCTCCATCTCTCATTTCCATGCAAGTGAAATTGAAAACAACTCCACGTTTACTGAACATTCGTGCTATGGGGAGGTAACCGTCATGATGTCTAGTATTATAGTATCCTGCTGTTAGTTCAGCAGCATGAGACCTAGTTCCGTAGTGCCAATGAATTCCGGCAACCTTTGCCGATAGTTTCGCTCCGGTTCCATGGAATGTTCCTTTTGCGGCCGCGAGTATCCGGTCTCCGTGTTCGAGTAGCTTTCCGGAGTACCATTGTAGGAAGAACTGGCCGTACTCGGTGTTCCATGTTCCATCCCTTCTGAAAAAACCAGTTTCTTCAGGAACTTGCTTGTAATGACCGGAATCATGTGGACCACTTTTTCCCCAGTCTTTCTTCCCGATGGCTTCTGCTGCTGCTTCCAGGGAAGCTCTCATAAACTGTAAGTTTAACATTTTTGCTTGTTTAGGAAGAAACCATACATAAGTTTTGATCATTCAAGTTATGTACAATATTTAAGCCCTTGTATGTGCACCATAAATGAAACGGAAACTTCATTTAGTTCATCAAATTTACCTTATCATGGCACTGAAACTCTCCAATTCCTGGAAATTTCCAGGTTCCATCACTTTCTGGATAAGATGGGTATCTGAGTTCCCCACAAGGTCCCATCCCCACTTGAATTTCCTGAAATAAGTAGAATTTCATAAGATTTTGGTGTTGAGAAATCCAAGCTTTATACAGAATGAATGAGAAATTACCACAATAACTCGTCCCAAGTAATCTCTGAACCTCTCACGGAAGCTCCTCATGTAATCTGTGTAAGCTTGAATAGGCGTTCTTCCTCTAAGAACAGGAACCGAGTCACATCCCAAGGATATGTACTCAGGATTCCTCTTCCCCGATTTATCGGTGTACACAAGGTCCGGGTTCTTGCTGATTTCTTGAAGCACCCAAGGAGGCAATGGAATACTAAAAATTCAAGCACATAAATTTCAGTTTTATAGATTTTATCAGTCGAGGAAAATCAGATACACCACAAGTTTAAGTAATTACCTGCAAGAGTCTCCAACATTGCCTCCGCACTGATGAAAAGACATGACAACTTGGAGTTTCAGGCCATGTTTTTCGACCATTTTCACAAGCTCGGCATACCCTTCCCAGTTGTAGTTTAAAGGTCCATCTTTCTCCACCAAACCCCACCATGCGTCCACCATAACTCCCTCGACGCCGGCGCTCTTTAACGCCATCAAACTGGCGTTCATCGCCCTCGGCTTATTCAAGTTACCTCCATGAGTCACCGTGTCGAGTGGCAGCATCACGAAAACAGGCACCTTGGAGTTGTTTTCAGTATGGGAAATTGTCAGTCCATGTAACTTTTCCGCTCCTTTGATCAAGACACTCCCATGAGGTGATTCCGGAAACGTCATCGACGTCGAACTCCTTGCTCGGAGACGGCACGTGGGCTTCACCTGAGCAATGGAAATGGTGGCCATGAAGTCATCAGGGGTTTTGAAGCTGTTGGTTTCTTTTAGCTTGATGAAAGAAGTAGAAGAACGTAATGTTAAGGCCATGTTTTGGGGAAATGAAGAGATATTGGAATGAATGAAGATGTTTCACATCCATTTATGAAAGAAATTTGAAGGTAGAAGACAACAATGGTGGGCTCAGTTTCAGATGTGCTCAAGATCAACCTCGTCAGCACAAGGTCACACGTCATCTAAAACGCGTTCATTTCGTGTCCATTCTTTCACGAAACTTACAATCCTAAATTGTGATTAGGGTTTCGCTTTGATTTGGATTTGGTCGGTTCTAATACGAGGAATCATTAAACGGCTGATATCAGTCAATTTCACAAATATAATTCTAGAACTTACATAAACTAAAAATAAAAAGTAAAATAATTTTCATATTTACAGAGATACAAATTTTGTAGCCATATATAGCATTATAATTGTACTTTGAAGTTTTTAAATTTTGTAGCCATATATGGCCTAAATTAATTAAGACAACACTTATTTATTATTATGTTAATTTTTTATGCTTTGGACTCACGTAGTGGATTTAGATACGCGATTTACGTTCGAAGATAGTTTTCTCGTGATTCTGATTTACGATTTTCAGTGGTCTTTCAGTAGTTTGATCTCATGTTGTGATTTGTTTGCCGATGCAGTCAGATCTATTCATATTTATATTTTGTTCGAGTTTTTGGATGTATTTTTAATCTTTTGGTTCGTGCATGATCTGAAACTGTTAGTTTTTTGTGCCTATGATTGGATAAGATGTACTAGTTTTGTGTTTAGTTTAGGCTTATTATTATAAACATTTATTGTAATTCTTTTTAACAAAACTAATAACTTTGTTTACATTAAAAAAAAAACACGTTAGATCACTATAACTCAAAAGATCTAAATAAATAAAGAATATTGACTTTTCCTTTTTTTAATGAAAAAGAATATTAAATTATTAATATATGAAAAATAAAAAGATTATATCGACTCCTTCAAGTAAAGATTGCATTGATTATTAATACTATTGTAGTAAATAATTAATAATATAATAATAAATTACGTTAAGTAAGAAAAGAATCATCTTTAAACCTTAGTCACTCTGTTTCTCTCTTATGTTGATGACAGCGCTTGTCTTAAGTTAATCGTCGACAAATTGTTTTTAATGTTTTTTCTTTCGTCCCTTCTCATAATCTAATTATATTTTTTATTAAGTTAAAGCGATTATAATCTAATTATATTAAAATTTTTAATTACATTTTTTAATATAAAAAAATAGATAATTTTGTCTTTTTTATAGTATATTTTTTATTTGTTCTTATAATATAAAGTTCTTTTTTTTATTAGGATTGAATGTAATTTCATCTCTCTAAATTTAAATAGAGCTTAATTAGTTATCATTGATATGTCCTACTTTGGATCTTTGATAGGCCCCTACAATTGTCAAAGATGAGTCACGATTGAGTTGTATTGTGATGATTTTATGTTGTCGATGAATCATCATTATTCTATATAGTTTAATTTTAGTGTTGATGGTGTTTACTTTCACATTGGTAAATGGTTTTGTTTGTATCAATCATTAATCAAAGTTGTTTAGTTAGATTTTTAACTAATTTCTCGTATGGCTTTTTTATTCTTAAGTGGTTAGTTTGTGTAATTTGAAGATTTAGGGTTAGATATTAGGGATAGACATTTGACTTAGACTTGATAGGTTCCAATTGGTCTTTTTATAAAAAATTCAAGTTTGAGTTTAGAGTAAAAAATAATATGTGACTAAACCGGAGATAATTATCTTTTATATATTTAGAGATAATTTTCAATATTATATTTTTCAATTATGTCCTTATTTCACAAAATAAAAATGATTATATATATATACAAGTCAGGTCGAGTCTAATGCAAATTTTAACTTGAAAATTGGATCAATTTTAGGTAGGGTGAGGCTCTCCTAAACCCGAGTAAGGTCATGTACGAGTGAAGGGGTTTAATTTTTAAACTAAAATTGGGTAAACTAATAATTGAACCCGACTCATGACTATTTTGATAGATATCAATAGATACTCACAATCACTTAAGATAAATCGTGTTTGAATTATGGTAACGTCATATTGTGGATAAATAATTCACATGCTTATGTAGATAAATTAAAATTGAAAAATATTGTGTATTTATTTTGCACTATACTTTTTGTTATTTATTTATATTTTAAATTTTAACTTGAAATTTTATGCTAATATAAACTAATGAATATTATTTATTATGTTTTTTATCAAAAAAAATAAGAAATATTGTATAATATATATGTTGTTGGGCAATCAACATCTTACTTCCAATATGGTCACCATTAACGAGTTTTGTGGAGCAAATTAAACAATTCTTTCTCGTAAGGAAACAATTATCAAGTGGGAACTCCCAAAATGGAAAGGAGAAAAAGGGTGCTTCGTGGAGGCAATTGAAGCATGAAACTTGTATGCCTTCAAGCAACATATTCATTAACCTATGTATGTATGATTTTCAATCACTAAACACTGTAACCTTCCAAATTATGATTTTGAATAATCAACAGGTTAAAGATTTTAATATTTATAATCTGTTCTCATACTCTAGGTTAATGTTTTTTTTTTTAAATAAAAAAAATAAACACTCCAATTCCTGCAATAAACTTGGGTTTGGTGTTGAAATTGAGCAGATAATGAAACAAAAATGTCTCTCTTTCCAACATTGCTGGCAAATTTAAATGCATAATTTGAAAGAAAGAATGATAAATTTCTAATGGTGGGAATTAGTCTTTCTTTCTCCATCATCAAACACACATTTTTATTTTTTTCAATTCAAAGGATGAGTTTTGGTTGGTAGATATAACTCCCTTCCTCTCACCCCCAAGAACAAAGTCCTATACGCATCTTGTTTAAGACAAAATAGCAGAGGGGAAAAAACACCCCATTTTCCTAATGCCTTCACACTTCACCCTCTTCTTTCACTATCAATGCAAACAAGGTCCCCCTCTAATTTAAAAAGAGATCACTAGTGAATGATTAAGCAACAAAACTTGGTTACCTAATCCCTCTTTTTCCTGTACAGGACAGTTTTGTTAGGTACAGATTAAGTCATTGCACAAGCTATCTTGAATTCAAATGCCTCGCAAGTCAACTGTTAAAGAAATTTTTTAAAGTAAAAAGGGATGGTTTATTTCATTTAGAAAGTTTTGAATTACCATACTGATGTTATCTCTTTAATTTTGTGATTATTTTGTATAGTTTGAACATTTTTTCATATTAAGCCTAAAAGAAATGGTGGATAAGTTTGCTGCGGAAATATGATAAGTAGACGACTAACCTGGAAACGTGGTATTGATAAGAAGAGAGTAGCTGTCACGCTAGATATTCCCATTGATAAGAGAAGAGACGTGGAGGGTTAGCAATTAGAACTTCCTCCAGAAATATCTGATGAACCTTCAAAAGATATTTTGTCCGACATTGATATTGGCTGCTTTTAAGATATTTTTTCCTTCAAAAAAGGAAAAAGATGAGCTGCAATGGCATAACACTGAATCACTCTCATGTGTTCAATAATACCGAAACATGGAAGTCTCACAAGTTCAAAACTATACGCAGAATTTGATTTCCACATTCATCATAACATTAAGCCATAGGGGAATGCATGCCAGCAATGTACCCAAGTCTTACACATGCATTATTACCAAATTTTGTAAGTAAATGATCCAAGAAACATAAACATGTCTTTACTGTTTCTCTGGCTTCTGGATAACACTAGTAATACATAGAGCTGAGAATCAACATTATGCTACTGGAAACACAGAATCGATTTTATCTCCGAACCGGCAACACTTGATGTTAACCGAGTATGGACCGAGCTGTACATGGTTGTCCTTTCCGCCCACAAAGAAACAGAGAGTATAGAGAGCAATTTCAAACTCAGGGCTTGCCCCAATCAAAGTGGTTGACACAGCTTTAAGGACCCCATTCCATTGGAACTGAATTGTAAGCAACTGTGTCTTAGAGTCTGGCTGCATAAGGACACAGGTAGAAGAGATGTTTAATACTGCAAAACAGGTGTGGATGCAGATAGGCCAGCAAAAAAAGTTCCACTTCAAGATTATAATAACATTCATCAAACATGACAAAGATCGAAGACGAAGAGACTTACGGTTTCCCCTCGTTTTCGGAGTAATATATAACCTTGATAATCAACTCTTCCTTTTGCTTCTTCTGGGTAAAACTGGAAAATGAAATATAGGATTAGGAGTAAACATCTATAGAGTAGGAAATGCTTACACTAACAAACACACCTGAAGCCAATTGTGGAAGCCAGTGACTTCTTCCCTGCCAGATTGCTTGATTTCCCCAACGAAAACATGTTCAAAAGCAGAAGAGGAACCAGATGATCCGCCTCGACCATAAAGATCAAACCATAGCTTTGTCAACAATCTTTTGAAATCTTGATAGTTTTCAGATACAATGCCCTTCAAAGAAGGTACCTATGAAGATATTTAATAGGATCGGTTCTACTGATTTCTTCTATAAAAGCAGTTTGCTCTTGTTTCTCCTCAGTTGTAACTTCTTTGCACCCAATATTAGGGTTGTAATTATCTAAAAGAGCACAGAAACGAGACAATGTAGGTTTTCTAAATGTGTCTTCACTCAGAGAATAAAATAGCCTATCTTCTGCCATATCTCCCTTCTGGTGAACCTTCTTCCCCTCACCACAGTCAATCTGATAATCCTTTCCAAGTTCCAAACGGTTTAAATCAAGTTGCCACAGCCTGTTGCAAGATTGTGACAAATCAGCAAGTTCCTCTTCTGAAGGTTCAATGCTAGTACCAGTTCCAACCTCATCAGCATATTGTTGCTCATTGGGAAGTCGTTTATACCTTGCCAGTGATCCCTATTGTTGACGAAAACGGGTAAAGAAAACGAAAGAACACGAGAATTTTACGAGGTTCGGCAATGTGCTTACGTCCTCGGATTTTACGAGGTAAGGAAATCCAAGCTTTATTACGTCCGAACATTAAGTGACACATGTCATGCATATAAAATTTCAAGATTTTTTAAATAAAATTTTTATAAGTCTAACATATGTAACTTAACAGTCGAATTTAATGACAAACACCTAAAAATATAACGTCATAAACATTAATCATATATTTTTAACCAAAAATTCTTTAGACAGCTAAATTTAATTTTAAATATAGTTTATATACTTATTTTTTATTAAACCTCAGCTATATTAACATTGTTGGAACTGATACGTTTATATCCAGGTACGTTTGGGTGTTAAGATATTAACCTGATCAGTTTGTACAAGATTTATTGAACCCAATAGCTACACGGCATAGCAGATGAAGTAGTTAGCTACAGTGGCATCGAATCGTGTGTTTCTAATTGCGCATACCGTTCTTCGTCTGTGAATCCACGGTTGAATTGGAGTTAGAGTTACCTACCAAGCTAACGCGCTCCACCCTCATTCACCCAATGGATAATATTTTAAAAATTATATTATTTGTATGATTTTATCTGTGAATTTATATAAAGATTCTTCCCCACTCCCTTCTTCCTCACTTCCAACTTCAAAGTTTGAAGAAACACCCATGGCTTCCTTTGTCCTATACTCCTTACTATCTGTCGTTTTTTCTCTATTTTGTTTGTGTTACCTTGAGGAAGCGTCACCGTGTGCGGCTCCCTCCTGGTCCGAAACCATGGCCGATCATTGGTAACTTGCCGCATATGGGACCTATGCCTCACCAAGGTTTAGCCGCCATGGCTAAAGTCTATGGCCCTCTCATGCACCTAAGGTTGGGGTTCGTGGATGTTGTGGTGGCGGCGTCCGCATCCGTGGCGGCTCAGTTCTTGAAAGTCCATGACTCTAACTTCTTGAACAGGCCGCCGAACGCTGGTGCCAAGTATGTGGCGTATAATTATCAGGACCTTGTGTTTGCGCCGTATGGGCCGAGGTGGCGACTGCTACGTAAAATCAGCTCCGTTCATCTGTTTTCAGGCAAGGCTTTGGATGACTTTAGACACGTTCGCCAGGTAAACGCCGTTGATATATCATAAATTTCATGCATTTTGACTATATTTCAGTTGGTAAAAGTACATCTTTAACGTTTGACTTTATTTTTGTGTTACACTGGCCAAAGATCACTGATCATCACACCAATTAAATTCATAAAAGGGGTCCGTATTGATTCTAATTACCATGTAAGTTTGATTTGAAAACAGGAGGAGATAAGGGTGCTTGTACGAGCATTAGCAAGTGCAAAAACCAAGGTGAATTTAGGCCAACTTTTGAACGTATGCACAGTAAACGCGCTGGGGCGAGTGATGATGGGGAAAAGGGTATTCGGAGACGGCAGCGGCGCCGCCGATCCGAAAGCGGACGAGTTCAAATCGATGGTGGTGGAGCTGATGAAGTTGGCCGGCGTTTTCAACATCGGCGACTTCATCCCGGCGTTGGAATGGCTGGATTTGCAAGGGGTGCAAGGTAAAATGAAGAAACTCCATAAGAGATTCGATAGGTTCTTGAGTGGAATCCTCGAAGAACACAAAATCAAGGCCGGAGAAGATGACAGAAAAGAGAAACACTCGGATTTGTTAAGTACGTTAATCTCATTGGAGAGTGCTGATACTGAAGGCGGAAAGCTCACCGATATTGAAATTAAAGCACTACTTTTGGTAATCTTTCTAGAACTTCGGAAAAAAATATAACCACATATATTTAATTTATTGAACCTGTTCGAATACTGTAGAAACGTAATAACTATCTTCGACCATTAATTAAAGAATTTAGTGTCTTATTCTACTAAATCAACTGATTATTAGTTCAAAAATATGAAATATTTTAATCACTTTAACTAAAATAAATTTTATCACTTAAATAAAACAATGATATACATATTTTTTAAAAATTATATATGAACGATTTTCCGTTAAATGAATTTTTGGGTGAGTGGTTAACATTATATGTGAAAACACTAAAAAATAAAAATAATAGATAAGATATTTAGATTACCATTTTAATTATTTATTTTAATTAGAAAACAGTATGAAAACAAACTATGTGTCTAATTCTAAACCCATTCGAAACTTACGTTGTTTGGAACACAAACGTGTTCCAATAAATAAATTTTATATTGCTTTGCCATCCGAACTAAATGAAAAGTCGTTTACATTGGTACCATTACACGTGGAAAGTGATATAATTTTGTAGGGGATATAGGTATAAGGACGGACACAATTTTAGGAATTAAACTTATGTAAAAAGTAGGAGTAATTTAATACTTATGTAAATATTAATGTGTTTTTGACATGGAAAATGCAGAACATGTTCACAGCTGGAACAGATACATCTTCAAGTACCGTTGAATGGGCAATGGCTGAGTTGATTCGGCATCCCAAAATCATGGCCCGAGCTCGTCAAGAACTCGACTCTGTCGTGGGTCGAGGCCGCCTTGTCTCCGACTTACACTTGTCAAGTCTAACCTATTTCCAAGCCATCATTAAAGAAACCTTCCGCCTCCACCCGTCCACGCCGCTCTCCCTTCCACGGATGGCCTCTGACAGCTGTGAGATCAACGGCTACCACATCCCCAAGGGCGCCACCCTCCTGGTCAATGTATGGGCCATTGCTCGTGACCCTAACGAGTGGAACGACCCGCTCGAGTTTCGACCCGAGAGATTCTTATCGGGCGGCGAAAAGCCGAATGCCGATGTTAGGGGTAATGATTTCGAGGTTATACCCTTCGGCGCCGGACGTAGGATCTGTGCCGGAATGAGCTTGGGATTGCGCATGGTCCAATTGATGACGGCGACATTAGTGCATGCTTTCGACTGGGAGTTGACCGATGGATTGAAGCCGGAAAAGCTGAACATGGAGGAAGCTTATGGATTGACTTTACAACGTTCGGCGCCCTTGATGGTGCATCCGAGACCGAGGTTATCGCAGCAGGCATACTAATCGCCGTCGTCTCATGCATCTTAACGGCATTTACGTTTGGGTTTGAGTTCGTTATTATCAGAGAAGATTTCCATGCACTGCATGTCCATGGCTATAGTTAGGATTGGGGCTAGCTACATATATATATATATGTGGTAATAAATCTACTTTTTAAAGTCTATCAATGCGTAATATTAGTGGGATTAGGTTAAATTTGCTTTTTAAGTTTGTATGATTTTACATTAATAAGATAATGATTATTATTAAAATAAATTGGATCAAAAATAAAAACATTAGGGTTTATATACAAAAATTTATAAAGCAAAAATCACGAACATGAAAAAAAATTAATATAATATCAAAGTTTCTTGAAACTTAAATTAGATGTTTCTTTCGTCTCTTTTCTTTTTTCCCACTTGCTTTTTACCTCATGAAAAGTATCTTGATAGAAGAAGCGTTGAACGACGTTATTATAGTCTATATTACAGTCTCTAAGGACGATGAAGATCTCTAGTCCGTGTAGCTATTATTAACAATCTCTTTAAGATTCATTAAAGACCGTAATATGGACCCTACCGACATCATTCAACGCCTCCTCTCTCAAGATACTTTTCATGAGGTAAAAAGTAAGCGAGAAAGGAAAAGAGAGATGAAAGACGCATTTCAACGCCTCCTCTATCAAGATATTTTTCATGAGGTAAAAAGCAAGTGGGAAGGAAAAAAGAGATGAAAGAAACACCTAATTCAAGTTTCAAGATACTTTGATATTATATTAATTTTTTTAACGTTTGTGAAATTTCTTTTATATTGGACGTGAAAAAATAATATAATATCAAAGTATCTTGAAATTTGAATTAGGTGTTTCTTTCCTCTCTTGTCTTCTTTCCCGCTTGCTTTTTACCTCATAAAAAGTATCTTGATAGAGGAGGTGTTGAGCGATATCGCTACGGTCCATATTATAGTCTCTAAGATCGATAAAGATTTCTCATTCTATGCAGCTATTATTAACAATCTCTTCAAGATTCGTTAAAGATTGTAATATGGACCCTAACGATGTCGTTCAACGCCTCCTCTCTCAAGATACTTTTCATGACGTAAAAAGAAAAAAGAGAGATGAAAAGAAAAGGAACTACTGTATTTTTTTTATTGAACTACTGACTTTAATGAACTACAAACAAACTTGACTAATTTATAGCCCAAATATAACTACCCCAAACATAAATAGTTAGAGATATTTTTTTAATTTTAATGTAATTGATTAAAACACAAAAAGATATATATCAAATCTCAAATGCGACATCTCTATTTCACATATAATTATCAAATTAAGTTGAAATTGTTACAACACTGTTTATAAATTTGAGTATAATGATATTTTATTATGATATATCTTCAAAAAATTATGTATATGAGTAATAATGATGATTTTTCCAAAAGTAAATATGTATATGAGGTCGTGAATATTAAGGGTCTCTTGAAGTATTTTAATTTTAGTTTTAAAAGTATTATAACATATAGTTATGAACTATATTAAAACAAAGGTGGGCTGAAGCTTATTTGGAGGCGCAGGAGGCAACATCGTTAAATAAGCATCTTGGAGTTCTGTTTGGAAGTCCTGTAAATGAGGGTCTATAGGAGCCTCTGTCGTTTGAAGTGTGTTGGGGGCAGTTCGTTTTCTGTAGGGGGTTAAGGTTTATGCTTTCGATTTCTGTGAACTTTTTCCGTTTTTACTGATTTTCTATGGTCTTGGCTTATTTAATTACGGCTGCTTTGTGTTTCAGTTCGACCTGTAGCGGGGTGTATAGTTTAGTTTATTTTCTTTTATTGCCTGTGTTGATGTGAGTCAAGGTTTTTATAGGATTCTTTTGAGGTTAGGTCGGTGAAAGAGTTTTTGCTTTGGAATGCTCATGGTTTTGACATCTTGGCTTCTGTGATGTTTTGGTGGTTTGTCTGCTCGAAGTTGTTGTTGTTGTTGTTAAGGTTTTCGTACTTGATATCTTGGAGCCAGGTAATTTGTTTGAATTTTCCCAGATAGTGAGTTATGGGGATACTGAGCATGACTTTCTTTGTTGGAGGAGTGATTTTAGAGTGCTTTGGAGACATGCTGTAGGTTGCACGTGGGATTGAGGTGGAATGGGATGATTGTATATATATTATATATTATATTATATTATATATATTTTAAAAAACGGATGATTGTCACATGATTAAGTTTGAAAGAATGAAAGTCTTAATTTTAATTTTTTATCTATTCACTTGAAAAATGTATCACAAACATAGTGTACAATACTATATAAAATGTGTTTCATTTTATTTTTATTTGAATTTGATGAAAATTATTGTTCATGTTTTGGTTTTTATGAATGTTTGAGTATCAATGTTTCGTTTCTATGAATGTTAGAAGAATTTGAGCTTAGGATGTAAAAATAGGTTTTGTTCATAGTATCATCCATTTCTCATCCGCTCCACCCGCTCCACCCGCGGATGATGGATGGAACGGATATGGATGAAATTTTTGGTGGATGATGGATGGCGTGGATGGAGATTTGGACCGCGGGTGATAGGGCGGATGAAGCTCCATCCGACCCATCTCCGATCCATTGCCAGCCCTAACTATAGTTGCTATTAACTGCATGTTTAGCTAAGGCGTCTGCTGGAGCATTGTTTTGACGATGAACCCATTGGATAGATGTAACCCAAGCTTTGCTGCGAGCCTTATAACCAGGGAGAGGGAGCTGGACGCAACATCTGATTGTTCCAGGAGTTTAGCTGCCTCGAGAGAATCTGTTTGTAACAGCAGAAGTTCAAACCCTTGTTCCCATGCAATTTGGAGAACAATAAAGATAGCCCAAAGTTCAGCTTGGAGGGGCTGGACAATTCCAATCGACTTGATGAATCCCAATAACCAAGCTCCATCAGCATCTCCAAAAACCCATCCAATGGTTCCATGACCTGTACGAGTGGAAACAGCGCCATCAACGTTTAAGGAAATCCAACCTTGATCTGGGGCTGTCCACTGGTGAGGAATATTTTTGGAGATACGGTTGGAATCAGTTTGAAGCCCTCTATCAATATAATAACGAGCCCAATTAATACTCCTGCAACAGATAGCATTCACCGAGTGGGAATTGTTAGAGAAAACTGTGTCATTACGGTTCTTCTATAATTTCCAAAGAATCGAATCATATAATTAAGTTTGCCAAGGCAGGTCCCAATTCATGACTTTTGCATGGGAGTTTATATTAGCAGATAGCCATTCCTGAAGGTTGTTGTAATGGAATAAGTCAACAGTGATGGTTTGTGGAGCCATAAGAGACCAGACTGCACGGGCACAAGCGCAAATAATAAATCATGTCACTTGGGGAATAAACTTCATTTTTTGTTTAAAGTTTCATCCATTCAATCATACCTATTTAACAATTCTCTTCTTGAAAAGATTAAATTCTTTCATAAAAAAAGAATAAGTCATTTAATCGAAAGGTCTTGACTAGTGTTTTGAAAACCGGACCGATCGGTTCAACCGGGAACCGCTGCCTGTCCGGTCCATTCTACCCCGGTTGATCGATTCTAGTGAACCGCAAGGAACCGTTCGAACCGGCTTTGAATCGTTCGAACCGGATCGGACCGTGAACCGGTTCTACCTAAATGTTTTTAGTTTTTTATTAAATATTTTGATTTTTTTATTTAATTTTTTAAATAATTATGACGTTCTCCAGTTCTTACGACCAGTCTGACCTGTTCGACCGGTTGAACCAGTGAACCGATAACACGACCGGTTCGCTGACCGGTCCGGTTCTAAAAACCATGGTCTTGACCCTTCAATTCATTTCATCTCCCTATATACAGGCTAGTTGAGGCACAAATCTAAGACACAATTCACAACATTAACTTAGGAAAACACTTAGAAAATTTCTTTCAAATTCGTTCTTTCCAATGATAGAGAAAGAAAAGATTGTGTTCGACTGATCACTACGATTGTGCTTACTGTTGTGATCGTTTATTGTTGTATCTTGGGAGACCGACATCCAACGTTACTCAAAGCACCGAGAAGATGACGAATCTGTCTTAAGAAAATGTTCATACAAGTCACAACAAAATTCTTCTTTTATTTACACTCTACTCATCGGTCTACAAACGAGTAAACAAATCGTGTTCTTCTATTTTAATTTTATATTTCTTTTGCTTCGTTCGATTCAATAACAATATATATTTACTTCAAGCTCATAATGACTCCTTTTTTGTTAAATTACCAAAAACATGCTTTAATTTCACGGTGAGCTTTCCACCTTCATCATCTTCCAATGAGATCAACGTACTTAATAAATCCGTGTTTTTCTCATTTTCATCATCTTCTCCGGCCTTGATTTTGTGCTCTTCGAGGATTCCACTTAAGAAACTATCGAATCTTTTATGCAGTTTCTTCATTTTATCCTGCACCCCTTGCAAATCCAACCATGAACCATTCCAACGCCAGGATGAAGTCGCGGATGTTGAAAACGCTGGCCAACTTCATAAGCTCCTCCACCATTGACTTGAACTCATCCGTTTGCGCATCAGCAGCGCCACAGCCATCTCCGAATACCCTTTTTCCCATCATCACTAGAGCCAGGGCATTTACAGTGCATACGTGCTAAAGTTGGCATAAATTCACCTTAGCTTTTTCACTTGCCAAAGCTCGTACAAACATCCTTATCTCCTCCTGTTTTCAAATCAAACTGAAATTTAGTCAAAACTTGTTATGTACCAACTTGCGTTGTTATAAACCAACCTAAATTATAGTTAAGAGTTCTCTACCAATAATTTATATGCACAACAGTTTTCTTCTATTTAAAGTCTGTCTAACTTTAATTTTAGAGTAGTCAGACTCTACATATATATATACACACGTAAATTATAAGTGATCCAATAAACCTGGCGAACTGGTCCAAAATCATCCATAGCCTTGCGGGAGAATAAATGAACGGAGATGATTTTACGTAGCAGTTGCCACCTCGACCCATAAGGCGCAAACATAAGGTCGTGATAGTTATATGCCACATACTTGGCGCCGGCATTCGGTGGCCGACTCGAGAAGTTAAGAGTCATGAACTTTCAAGAACTGATACAAGCAGAGATTAATGACAAATCACGAGAGATTCCGACGCTCTATGGCCAACTCCCTTACTGTTGGACCTGTCATGATCATCAGGAAACCACTATCAATGTTTTGCTAGTATCAATTCATTCATTTTCAATAATTCCTCGCATGAATGAACTTGATGGTTAAAACACTGTTTTGATATGGTGATGGATTCTATGTTTAATATTGCATAAGATATGTAGGCATCCCTTTGAATCTTATCTTCTGAAAATATATTTATTTTATTAGCTGTCTAGTAGACGCGATGTCCATGACCTGTTACAGAATTAGGACAGTGAGATTTATGTGAGGTATGTCATCACGGTAGGACAGATCACATCCGTATGATAGATTGGAAGCAAATAATTTAAGCTAGAATTCCTAGACAACCTACGACAAATTCTACAGGGCTAAGACCCCCTCCTGGTTGGTCATGTTTAAACACTGATGGGACAGTGGTTGCAACTGATGGGCGACGCTCGATTGGTGAAGTGCTCTGAAACTCCAACGGAGATTGGATTATAGGGTTTACCAAGAATGTAGGAACAACATGGATTTACATGCAGAACTTTGGGGTATCTGTGAAGGGTTGCTCATTGCGTGGAATCTTGTCATTTCAAGATTATGAATCTAATCCAATTGCAACCAAGCAGTTAATCTCGTGGGTGATGGTGAACTCTCCATTAGACATTTCCCTTTAGTTCGAGCCATTATAAACTTGTGACACCGAGCTTGGGTGACGAAAATCCAGTGGATTCCAAGAAATGGGAACAAGATCACATGCAAGATTACTAAACTAGCCTCTGGACAACATTTTCAGACGGTTCGCGTTGACTCTCCCCCAAAAGAGCTTGAAGATATTCTAGCTCCAGAAGCAGATATAACACAATCAGATGATTCTACTTTCACCTAGCCTACTGAATTAGGCTTCTTTTCAATCACAAAAACTAAGCATATCTGGTCGATTGATTAAATCATTCATTTTAAGTAATAGGTTATAGACACATTAATAACTCTCTCTTTTCATTCATCTAGAGTTTTCGCTTTTTGTCCCCCTCTAAATAATATTAAGATTAAATTTAAAATTTAACCTCTTTCCACACTTATGAACACCACAATTAAAATGGAATTAAATTGTTTGGTTCACGGAAAGGAGGGAAAAATTGTGAGATGAAATTCAAACAGTGTGGAAAATGCAAAGGGGTGTATTATCTGTGGTCAAAAAAGGTCCCTTATAGGCTACAGTAGCGTTTTCACTTTTTGTTCATTTATCGAAAACAGATATAAAGCAAGACTTTTAATCTTGTGGTCGTGGATCAAGTCTCACGGTGGACAATTCATAACCGGAAGTCTCCCGTGGAAGTTGCTCTCAACCTGACATTGGAAACAGCCTACTATCCTACCTCCCCTTACCCCATTACATATGAGAATAACATCAGCTAATTTAGATATAAAGCAAAAGACAATGAATCTATCTTTTCCATTGAAACATTTTTATCCGCTATGCTTAGCATGGAGTTTCTTAATCTTATCTGTGGAACTAAGAAAATTATCTTCAGTTTATTAAATAATTATGCTTAATTAAATTCATATTATAACTATAATATTTTTAAAATATTTATAATTTAGTATATTAATAACTCAAATGCTATAAATTTTAAATATTCACATTCATATCATTATATTATAATTCATATGACAACATGTTACTATATCGTACTATATATCATTGGAGAGATGAAAAATAATTGATCAGAGGACATCATAATAGCAAGCCAAGAAAGGAGGCATGTGGGCACCGTTGCCAACCTGGTTGAAATAAATGACACCAATTTATAGACTTAAGCTTCTATTAAACGTATTTTTATTTATTAGAATATTTTATATCTTTATAAAGAGTTAAATTCGATAGCATCGCAAAACTTTTTTTTTTAGTTTTATATTTTTTAAAAAATTACATGAATAAGAATAAATGATTAAAATTAATAATAAATAACAAAAAGATATTAAACAATAACTTTTTAAATGTATGATGTTGTTTTAAGACTGTATTTTTTATTTTATTATTTATTTTTCATATAAAATATTTTGTATTAATATTATATTTTTATTTTCTTATATTATTCATATAATATAATTTAAATAATGTCATGTTTAATATTATAAAATTTTCTAATGACTTGTGAATGCAAAAACGAGAAGAATAGGTAAAATATTAAGTGAGCTTTTATTTTTTTTAATTAATGTTCAAAATTTTCAATTGAAATTCAAGTTCAAATTACAAATAGTTTGACTTTGTACGCTGTGCTAATAGATTATATAGTTGTTGTTTGATATATAAATACTTTTTTATTAAATAAACAAATCTAATTATGCAAATTTAAATAATTCAATTTTATTTTTTCAATCAAACTTTAAAAGTGCAGTATATAGGTTTTATTTTTAAGGTGTATGAACTCGCTTTTGAATAATAAATTTTTAGTGCAACTTTAGAATTAAAAATTAAATAATAAAAATATTTTTTCAATATTTTATTATCTTTCATTTGACACTCACTCCAATTTTAGACAAATTATTTTTAAAGGATCAAGTTAAAGTTGGATGATAAGCACCTTGTGATTTAAAATAAATTTGAAGGAATTTACAGACATGCGATAATATTTTTTATATTAAAATTTACCCTAATTAGAGTAAAATATTTTTTTTTGAAAGAGCCTAATTAGGGTAAAATAATACTTTGTTAGAAACGGGTTCTTTTAAAAAATAACTCTTTAGATAAATTATAAAATTTTATATAAATTTTTAAAACTTTAATAATAACTAAATGTATAAAAAATAAAATATTATATTATAATTAAAAAATAAAATATTATGATATAAATAAAATAATATCAATAATACTTATAATTATTATCTTGACTGCATAAGAAAATATAATTCAATTATAACACTACGAAAAATTTCCAGAGTCCTCCCTAATTAGTATAGATTTCATATAATTTTTCTAAAAAAAAAAGCATAATAAAAAAATTAGCTTTCAATATTTAAATAGATAGTTATTTTGACTGTAAAATTGTTAGAGTAATTTAGTTTCTAAAATTTAATTTTTAGTTAAAATAATTTTTATTGGATGAAAATCGTTAGTTCAACTATAATTTATACGTGATATTAACGTGATATTTTCATATATGTTTAATTATATCATCAATTAAGTATATATAAAATGTCATGTCAACAACATGAGATAATTGACCACTTAAGTAAGTTCTTCTGATTTAATTAGTTAACAAATATTTTTCAACTAACAAGAATTATTTTTATTTAAAGTAAAAATATTAAATATTAAATGTTAAAATATTTTAAAATAAAAAATATAATATATTAAATATTTATACAAATATTGAAAATTAATTTGATCATTTACGAATTTTAAAATATTTATTAATTAGAGAAAATAAGTTCACAAACCGACACAAAACAAGGACGCCTTCATCCCACCATCCAGAAAGCCACCACATCATCACTCTCTTACCTTTCTTAATATCAACCTGACCTTTGCTCTGTTCTCTCACAAGACGCACTTTCCCGTAGGCATAAACTTCTCTGTCTGAACCAGAAACCTCCATTGTTACATTCCTCAAGCTCCATTGTTTCCACCCTTTTGTTCTCATCAACCATGGCTACTGCTTTACTCCTTTCGCTGCTCATTCTCGCCTTGACTCGCCACTCAAGTAAGCTCTTCACACTATAGGTTCAAGTTGCTTTCTTTTCCCTAGAGAACTCATGTTAGATTTTCTCTTCAGACTATGTTTGATCTTTTTTATAGCAAAAAGAGATTGAATTTGTGTTTTTTTAGCAGGAGCGGTGTGGTGCGTTTGCAAAGACAGTGTAGGTGAAGCAAGCTTGCAGAAGACATTGGACTATGCTTGTGGAAACGGTGCTGACTGTAACCCTATCCGTTCGAACGGACCTTGTTACAACCCCAGCACGGTTAAGGCACACTGCAATTATGCTGTCAACAGCTATTTCCAGAAAAAAGGCCAAGCTCAAGGCTGCTGTGAATTTGCTGGCACCGCTGCTATCACTTCAACCGACCCTAGTAATCTCTTATTTCTAATTAATTATTTGGGTAAACTACATATTTAGTCACCTAAATATGCTTGCAATTTTGTTTAAGTCATCTACTTACTTTTTTTCTACGTTTTTGTCCTCGATCGTCAAAAAAAAGAATGATGCGCGGTTATCAAAACGGAAGTAAAACATAATATCTAGTATGATTTTGAAAACAAATTGAGTGACCCAAATAAAATTACAAAATAGATTAGTTACTAAATATGGAGTTTACCCTAATTATCTTACCAAGGCAGTTCAAACTTTTAAGTATATCAAAACTTGCTCTTTTATTTTTGATTTGGTGATTCTCACTTCTCAGGCTCTAATGGCTGTTCTTACCCCTCTAGTGCCGGTGGCAGGTACGCTGTGAAATTTTCTTTTTTACCATTCTTTTTAACTGTTCATGTTCTATAAATATGGGGGCATTTGCCACTGTTTACCAAATAAATAAGCTTATTTTAGTGTTTTGAGGTTTCCCTCCTAGAAGAAGAAGCTTATTTTAGTGTTTTGAGCTTCCCTCCTAAAAGAAGCTTATTTAGGTGGCTACATTTTGGATGTAGAATTAGTGTAATCATGGGCCATGGTGTATTTATTTTTATATTGTAGGTCCACTTGCATAGATTTAGTCTAAAGTTTTATCGAAGTTGGACCACCTAGTTTTTCAAACATAAAACATTAGATATTAAATATATTCATATTTAACCAACGATCAGCTGATTTATTGATATGAGATACTAGATTTTTTAAGTAAGTTTAAGAGTTCGAATTATGACATTTACAAATGGAGTAAATTGGGTTTAGAGAGTCATTATTATCTTTGTAATATCTAATCTGAATTAATCAATTAATAAATTAGATACCGGTGATTATATTAATATATATATATATATATAGAGAGAGAGAGAGATTTAATCTAGTATCTTTATTTTCACCCATATGGGTGTAATGGGCATGGGCATCCAAAGTTTCTTTCATTGGAGAGGAGTGTAAAAGGCTTTGGCTTTAGCTTTTCTTTATTAACCAAAAGAAAAGAAATTCTTCAACTGTTTTCATTGAGATTTATTTGCAATTCAAAATCCTACCATTTCTGCATCCATTTCCTTTTTCACCTTTGATCTTAATGAGCTCTTTTCTGTCGTTTTTCTATCTTAAAGTTAAAGAGTGAACAGTGTAAAGGGTTATCATATTTTATGCTTTACTTGATGTTTGATGCTTTTACATACTGGTGAGAATTTTATGATGACTTTTGGTCACCTCAAACCCTAATCTAGTGTTTGTTTATTGACGTAATTTTTGACACCGGAAAAGAAAACCAAAAAAGTGTAATCACCGATTTCATGGTGGTGGGGCAATCTCATTGATCCCTTTGAAAATGGACAAACCTCTGCATTGAGACTAGAGCCCTTGTTTTTCCTCTCTTTTATGGAGATTTGTGATGCCTTGAAGGTGGTGCTCATGTTGTCTTTTCTTATACTATTACGTTATATGGGTGCCCAGCTTTCCCCCATTTTTGGGACACGCCCTTCTGCTCTCACTTCATTCGGGTCCTATTGCTTTGGACATGGCATATTGAATCGGATATTCTAACCCTAATTAATAAATATAAGAGAAACTAGCTCTTGTTATATTTTTCATTGCTTTCTGGTAATATATTATATATGGTGACTCGTTCCCCCCCCCTCTTTTCTCTCGGATCAGTAGCACGGGCACGGGCACTGGCACGGGCACTGGCACAGGCACAGGCACTGGCACGGGCACTGGCACAGGCACAGGCACAGGCACTGGCACGGGCACGGGCACTGGCACGGGCACAACACCAACAACTCCGGGGACGAGTACAAATCCATCAATCACCACGCCCACCATGAACCCGAGCACCAACATCCCGAAGGGGGGCACAACACCATATGGTTCAACAACACCAACCGGAGTGTTAGGAGGAGTGGGCACTGGCTTAGGCCCATCCGGAACAACCAGCACGACCAACACCGATTACAGCCATGGAGGGTTTCGGCTTCAACCCATTTATTCCCTGACAACCCTCATGTTTTCAGGCTTAATGCTATTACAGGGTTGACAATAACAATAGACCACCAATATCTTCTATCTAAGGACATGTTAAAGCTATCTAAGGTTTTTATTTTTTTAGTCTTCTTCCCCACATTAGATGAACATGAAAACGGGGATTCTATTTCTATTGAGAGCATGGTTTTTGTGGTGCCCGATGGGTGCATTATCTATTTATTTTCCTTTTCGTGTTTTGATGTAAATCTAGTTCTCTAGGGCTGAAGTAAATTATCAACTAAAACAGAAATTGGCGCCACAAGATTATCCTTCACTTAATTTACTAGTAATTTGGATGTACTAACATTTTAAATTAAACTTTTTGATGCATTTTTCTATAGTTTGATAGAAACCTGGTTTTGGCTCCGGAGGGACAGTAATCACGAATCCTGTTGTAACTAACATGGAAGCTACAATCATCCATGAAAGCAGCAACCATAGTGAATAAATTGTAGTTGAGTTTAGTCATGGTTTATTGGGGTTTATTTGATACCGACAGATATCGATTGATATGAACTTTTAAGTTCGAATTCAAAGTTTTTTTTTATTAAATTGTTTAATTTAATGTTTTTAGAAACGTCTTCGTATGTTCTTAACAATTGTTACGGGTTTAATAACTCCAACTATTTATGTGCATTCAATTGAAATTTGATGTTTCAAAATTTTAGAGAAGTTTACGACAATGAAGTTGAGAGAGAGGACATGATAGTCAATTATGCTTATGAGACGGTCCACAGTGGCTTATGATATGATAATTAGGTTAAATTTGTATTTTTTTTGTCAAGTTCGTGGGCCAAATTGATTTTTTAAAGTTCAAGAGCGTACTTAATTTTTCTAAAAAAATTCAAAAAATTAAATATAAAAAGTACCAAAAATAAAAATTAAATTAATAAAAAATTTAAAATATTCCAATATATTTGGATTAAATTTTTATATTTTAATAAGATGTCATATAGAATTATTGTAAGAGTACCTTTCTATATTATATATATCGTCTTAAAAGTACCATTAAACTTAAATAATTTATTTTAGTTATTTTCATTTAAAAAAATAACCGGGTACAATGTTATGCAAATAATCATATTTTGATGAAGCTTTCACGATACAAGTATCCCATACTTGAGCACCTCTCCTGTAAATGCGAGTAGCACCAGCACGTGATTCAGGAAATGAAAAATAAAACCAGAGTAAGCCCTTGCGACAATTTCTTCCTATTCCATGAATAAGTTCAACGCAGCATTGTTTGGAAGTATCTTGATCCTCTAAAATCGCTTTCATGACACTTTCCTGGCATTCTAAGCTAATCTTTTTGGCGCACTGTTCTATACTTTTAAAGAAACCTGGTTCTGGCTCCGTAGGGAGAGTAAACTTGAATCCAGTTGCAACCACCATGGAAGCTGCGATCATTGACGAGAGCAAAACAACCATAATGGATGAATTTTGGTTAAGTTTAGTCATGGTTTATTTGATGATTCGATGCCGAGAGATGTCAGTTGGTATGGATTTTTGAGTTGGAATCCAAGTCTTTTTATACTAAATTATTTAATCTAATGTTCTTAAAAACGTCTTTGTAATTTCTCAACTATTATTATGAGTTCAGTAACTTTAATTGTTTATTCAATTGAAATTTGATGTTTCAAAATTTTAGAGAAGTAACGACAATGGATTTAGGAGAGCAGGAGATAATTGCTTCTCTAACATCATAAATAATGGTATATGTTACTCTAGTGTAAAGGTGACTATAGAAAACTGACGAACTTATTTCAAGATTGAGATTTAAGAATAATATTTCAAGGATGGATGGAAAGGGGAAGGATGGAGATAAGTTGCTGAGAGAATTATTGGTTCTGGATTTGCTTCCAAATCATTCATTGTGTGATATTTCAGTTGCTGGGTTATGTTGGGGATGCCTTCTGGATGAAGCCGTGGAATTTTTAGAAAATATGCTGGAGAGAGGGATGAACCCAAGTATTGTTGCTTTTAACTTGCTGCATATAGCAGAGCGGGCTTAGAAGAGGATGCCGCCGGAGTCTTTAAATTTATGATGAAATTCAGCCTGACTCCATCATCTTCCACATGTAGTTCTTTGCTCATGGGTTTATCCAGGAAGGGGAGGTTGCCGGAAGCCAGAGAGATCTTGTACAAGATGAAGCATAAGGGTTTTCCAATCAATAGAGTGGCTTTTACTGTGGTTTTGGATGGTTACTTCAGGAAGGGAGATTTCGCAGAGCCTTTTGCTGCACTTGGAACAAAATTCGTGGAACTGAAAGCACCGGGAGAAAGGAGACATAAAGAACAGAGGTATGGAAGCTCTGGTGTCCCCATTCCCCGACATTAGCTGTTGAATGGAAATGAGAAAAGGAATTTGTTCGACATGCTTATTATTTTAATAGTTATTATTCATATGTAAATTTGATACCTTTGCATAAATTGACAGCGGCTGGCTGGCACCATGCTTATTTCTATGGCAGCATGCTGCGCTCGATTGTGCTCAATATCTTCCCTGTTGACTATGAGAACAGAAACCATATCCCCAGCTGAATGGCTAATGGTTGAAATGAATACGTGTCCAGGATCAGATTGTTGCATTTGATTTGGAGTGGTAGTAATGAACACTAAATAAGCTTCGGTTTGGGGTTAGCATGCTGTTAATTTTGATTTTACTGGTATTTATCCCGAAATATCCATACAGATTAATATACTGATGCAGTTAACTTCACAGTCTATGAGCACTAATTGAGCAAGATCTCATTGTATGGATGACTATTTTCATGCTAATAAATTGAAGCACTGGACAGATTGCACAACACAAAAGCAATAGGAGTTCCTCTTCTCTCTTCAACTGTTATATGTTCCTGGATCATTTTTTCTGAAATGAAAGAAGACAAAGTGCAAGAAACTATGAACATTTAAGTTTAGCTATTATATTTAAGATGAATGGGAGCTTGAAAAGTACTTATACATCTTTTTCAAAGTTAATAGTTTTCTTGCTTCTTAATCACATTTTAGGAGGCCACATGTGCGGATTGGTTTGGGGAAGACTCCACAAATGCTGAATCACAGAGGGAGGATATCATACCTACAAGCAAAAACAAGAGAAGCCCTTTGGATGCGGATTTATTTGGTTCAGCTTGTTATACTTTTCGGCATGGGCAGTCTCATTGTTAGGAAATAAACCGAGTACGAGTAATTTCTCTATAGCCAGATTAGTGAGAATACGAAATAAAAGCGGAAAAATAATACCCGAAAAATTGATAACGGAGTTCAGCCAATTGTGCTTACGTCTCCGGACTGCTGCAGATCTTTTACTGAAGAGAAAAATTATAAGTGTTTACAAAACACACTTGAGAGAGAACTGGAAGATTTTGGGATGATTTTGAAGCTAAATGAGCTAGGGTATTTATAGTTGAAACTTAGGGACTAATCTTGTGAAAATACCCTAAAGTTCAATGACTCAAAATAATTATCCCATGCCTAAAATTCAAAGAAATGGGCTGCCTAACTTTGAAATCAAAGCAGCCCCCTTTTTGACTAATTAAAAGCAGCCGGTGGCTTTTTAATTTTCAATAATCTCCCACTTGAAGACTGATTTTAATCTGTCTTCACACCTCGATCGATGCAGCAGCATTTCTGGTCTTGTTATTCTAACATGCCAATTAAAGCTGAACACAACTTCAGTTTGTCCGTAGTCACCGTCTTTGTCAACATGTCTGCCGGATTTTGAGCTCCACTAATCTTTTCAAGTTTCAAAATCCCATCTTCCAGAAGATACCGGATAAAATGATATCGCAATTGTATGTGCTTCGTTCTGGAATGAAAAGACGGATTCTTTGCTAGATGGATAGCACTTTGACTGTCGCAATATAAGACATTGTTTTCTTGTTTCTTGCCTAACTCTTCCAAGAAACTTTGGAGCCAAACCATCTCCTTGCTGGCTTCCGTAACATCGACATATTCTGCTTCAGTTGTGGAGAGAGCAACTATCTTCTGTAGTTGAGAAACCCAACTCACTGCGGTTCCTCCTAGAGTATAGACATACCCTGTAGTGCTTTTTCTGATGTCGACATTTCCGGCTAAGTCATCATCTACATAGCCTGTCAATATCGTATCTCCACCTTTGAAACAAAGTGCTTTGTTTGTGGTACCCCGTAGATATCTGAGGATCCATTTGACTGCTTCCCAGTGTACCTTGCCCGGATTATTCATGTATCTGCTAACAGCTCCCACTGCTTGAGCAATATCTGGTCTGGTACAAACCATGGCATACATTAGACTTCCAATTGTTGAGGCATACGTCACCTTCACCATGTGCGCACGTTCTTCCTCCGTCTTTGGTGACTGTTCTTTGGAGAGTCTAAAATGAACACCTAAAGGTGTACTTACTGGTTTAGCATCTTGCATGTTGAACCTGGAGAGTACTTTATTGATGTACTCAGCCTGTGATAACATCAAAGTCCCTGACTTTGTGTCTCTCTTGATCCTCATCCCAAGAATCTACTTTGCAGTGCCCAGATCCTTCATAGCAAACTGCTTCGACAATTTTTGCTTCAAGTTTATGATCTCTTGCATGTTTGAGCCTGCAACGAGCATGTCATCAACATACAACAATAAAATAATGAAGCTATTGTCGAACCTCTTGATGTAGCAACAATGATCTGCTTGGCATCTGGTAAAACCACTGCTACCCATGAAACTATCGAACTTCTTGTACCACTGTCTAGGAGCTTGTTTTAAACCATACAAGCTCTTCTTCAACCTGCATACCAGGTTTTTCTTTCCTACCTCTATGAAGTCTTCTGGCTGCCTCATATAGATTTCTTCCTCCAAATCACCATGAAGGAAAGCTGTCTTTACATCTAACTGCTCAAGATGTAAATTCTCTGCAGCTACAATTTTCAACACCAGTCTGATTGTAGACAGTTTTACGACTTGAGAGAAAATTTCATTGTAGTCAATACCTTTTTTTTGCTGAAAACCTTTGACTACCAATCTTGCTTTGTAGCGTTTGCTCCCATCATGCTCTTCTTTGATCCTGTAAATCCACTTGTTGTGGAGCGCTTTCTTGCCTGGTGGTAACTCAGTTAATTCTCATGTCTGATTTGACATAAGCGAATCCATCTCATCTTTCATGGAAGACTCCCACTTGACTGAATCCTCCACTTGCATTGCTTCATCATAGCACTCTGGTTCACCATTGTCAGTCAGCAACAAGTAGTGCAAAGAAGGCGAATACCGTTGGGTTGGTTTAGGAATTCTGGAGGAGCGTCTCAGTTCTGGTGTGCCTGGTTCTTCTTGAACTGCTTCTGGACTGATCTGAACATCATTTCCAGAAATCTCCTCGAACTCAGCAAATTCCTTTGTTTCAGCCTCGGTATTACTTGATTCTGCGGTTGACTTGTCTTTGTACATCACATTCTCATTGAAAATGACGTCTCTGCTTCTGATGATCTTCTGATTTTCGTAGTCCCAAAACCGGTAACCGAACTCATCACCACCGTAACCAACAAAGACACATTTGTTGGACTTGGCATCAAGTTTACTTCTTTCAGCAGAGTTTATGTGTACATAAGAAATACAACCAAACACTCTTAAGTGTGAAAGGTTTATTTCTTTCTTGCTCCAAGCTTCCTCTGGTATTCCACCATCCAAAGGAACTGAGGGCCCATGGTTGATCAGGTAAGCTGCAGTGTTGATAGCTTCAGCCCATAGAAATTTGGGCAATCCGGCATGTATTCTCATGCTTCTGGCACGTTCATTCAGAGTTCTATTCATGCACTCTGCTACGCCATTCTGTTGCGGTGTTATGGGAACTGTTGTCTCCATCTTGATCCCATTGTTTGCGCAGAAATCTCTGAATCTATTGTCTCTGTACTCTCCTCCATTGTCAGACCTCAACCGCTTGACTTTCAAACCAGTCTCATTTTCCACCATGACCTTCCATTTTCTGAAGGTATCGAAGACTTCTGATTTCTTCTTTAGAAAATAAACCCATACCTTCCTTGTTGAGTCATCGATGAAGGTGACATAATATAGTGAGCCTGCAAGAGATGAAACTGGGGATGGTCCCCATACATCAGTATGAATCAATTCTAACCTTTCTGCCTTGGGAGTCTTGCCAATCTTTGTAAAACTGACTTTATTTTGTTTGCCAAAGATGCAATCCTCGCATAGTCCGACATCTACATTCTTTAGATCCAGCAGCTTCCCTTTTGACAGAAGTATCTTCATTCCTTTCTCGCTCATATGGCCAAGCCTTTGGTGCCATAGGTTTGATTTTCCATCAGCATCTGCTACTGTAATGATATTCTCTAAGTTTGAGGTTACATAGAGAGTACCAGTCTTCTTACCACGAGCAATGACAAGTGCTCCTTTGGTAATCTTCCATTCACAGCCTGAAAAGGTTGTACTATATCCTTCTCCATCAAGCTGTCCAACAGAAATCAGATTTCTTTTGAGGCCAGGAATATGTCTCACTCCTGTCAGCTTCTAGGTGGTCTGGTTTGGCAGCTTTAGTCGGATATCTCCTTTTCCGACGATCTTCAAGGTTTCATCATCAGCAAGATGAACCTTCCCAAAATCACCACTGACATAGTTCTCCATGATTTCTTGGCATGGGGTGGAGTGGAAAGATGCCCCTGAATCCAAGATCAATGATTCAATCGGACTGTTGACGCTTAGAATCATGGCATCACCTGTCTCCTCTGTCACGTTGGCAGATTCCTGTGCACCGGTATCTTTCTTCAGTGCTCGACAATCTCTTTTAAAGTGACCTTTCTTGCCACAATTATAACAGGTAAAATCTTTCTTTCCCATTCTGGATTTTTCCCGTCTGGATTTTGATCTGCCACGATTTGAATATCTTTCTGAAGTTCTTCCTCTAGACTCCGTGTGCAAGGCTGAGGAGGTTGATGCTTCACCCGATTCTCTCCGTCGAATTTCTTCACTCAATACCAGATCCCGAACATCGTTGAATTTCAATTTGATGTTTCCCGACGAGCTGCTGACTGCTGTAATAGTAGCATTCCAACTGTCTGGTAGAGATGATAAGAGAATTAAAGCTCGAACTTCATCATCGAACTCAATTTCCACTGAACTCAACTGGGTTGTGATTGTGTTGAGTTCATTTAGGTGTTGTGCCACCGATGCCCCTTCCGTCATCCGCAAATTGAATAATCGCCTCATCAAATGAACTTTGTTTGAGGTCGATGGCTTCTCATACATACTGGAGAGAGCCGCCATAAGACCCGCCGTGGTCTTTTCCTTTGCTATGTTGAAAGCAACATTGCGGGATAACGTCAGTCGGATAACTCCGAGGGCTTGTTTGTCGAGAAGAGCCCAATCTTCATCCTTCATGCCCTCTGGTTGCTTTCTTGAGAGGGGTTGATATAGATTTTTCTGGTACAGAAAATCTTCGATCTGCATCTTCCAAAAGCCAAAGTCCGCACCATCGAACTTTTCAATTTTCACATTCCCTTCGTCTGCAGCCATCGCTCCCACTCGAATCTGGCTTCTTTGAATCGTTTTTGACAATTTCTGCGAACCGCCGTGTATTTGAACACCTCAGTCGACAAATTCGTATCACCGACAAAATTTCACTATTCACGAAATTCACTATTCACGTGAATAGTAACCTCGCAGAAAAATTGGCAAAATTCACAACCAAAAGCTCTGATACTAGTTGTTAGGAAATAAACCGAGTACGAGTAATTTCCCTATAGCCAGATTAGTGAGAATACGAAATAAAAACGGAAAAATAATACCCGAAAAATTGATAACGGAGTTCAGCCAATTGTGCTTACGTCTCCGGACTGCTGCAGATCTTTTACTGAATAGAAAAATTACAAGTGTTTACAAAACACACTTGAGAGAGAACTGTAAGATTTTGGGATGATTTTGAAGCTAAATGAGCTAGGGTATTTATAGTTGAAACTTAGGGACTAATCTGTGAAAATACCCTAAAGTTCAATGACTCAAAATAATTATCCCATACCTAAAATTCAAAGAAATGAGCTGCCTAACTTTGAAATCAAAGCAGCCCCTTTTTGACTAATTAAAAGCAGCCGGTGGCTTTTTAATTTTCAACACTCATAAACTATATGGTGATCTAACTCGAGTAGATGCTCGTTTGGACATATTGTCACACTCATCATTTGCCATAAGGGTTATTCTAGACTAATCTCTATTATCTCCCAGGGAAAACAAAAAAAATATCTTTCAACAGCAGGTAATTTTGTCCATACCCTGCTTGATTGTTTTATTTATTTATTTTAGTGGGAACCCATAGATAGATATATGGTGGATTTGCATCGGTTGTTTTTGTCACAAATCTCCTGCATGCTCTGTTAAATTGGATTTTCCTTGTGGGATATCATCAACTCTGGAATCAGTTGAAGAAATCTTAATGCAGCTGATCTTCTAACATACCATTTTGCCGATTAAAATGATGCTGAGGATCTTCTTCTAAATGCACCATTTCGTATTAAATGAAACACGAGAGCAGAAAGCAAATCTACGGGGAGAAAGACGCAATCCAGTATCTAGAGCAATTTTATAAGAAAAGCACTCAAGTCCAAATCCAACATTGACTGGAATAGATGGAGCCACTTACATATTACATCTAACTCATTCTTTACAAAACTGTTACACGAGAGGAAAGCTAAAATTTATTAGAAAATAAGGTGCCTTCACCATTACCATAACCATTCTCTTTCCATGCTAGGAGGGATTTTCTTCCCAGCATGCATGTATGCACGATTTCATTACAGTCTCTTGATGAAAAGAACCATGACTGCAAGTAGATGACATGACGGTATAAAACACAACCATTTGAAATGAAAGTCGTATCTTTCTTCTATCTAATGCATTTTCAAATATCACTCCATGGGAATGATGTCACCGTTATTATGATGCATTTGCTTTTGGACTTGTATTATTCTTGATGCATTGCCTGCTCTATAAGCTGCTGCTGTGTTCACTCACTCTCTCATCTACCTTGCCCACATCATTACCTTTCTCTGATGCCTTTCAAGCCTCCTCCACGTAACATCAAAAAGAAATCAGGAAAATTATGTCGCATTCCAGAGCATTATTCATACCAAAAAACACAAGCCATGGAAAATTTGAGCAATTTTCAAGTGACTGAAGTCTTCAATGTATTAGGCATCTCTTTGGATGATGAGAGTTGTAAAACTTGGGCTCCTCCTCCCATTACCATTTGAACTACTGGAAAAAGAAATAACAAGCAAAATTCTAGCGAAAATAGAAAAGATGCTTTCTTGATACTTGGATCGAGGATAATATATATCTTCACATTTGGGACAGTAGATTTTCCCAGTACTTGAACGGGGGATATCTGACTGACCAACTGGTAGACATGGTTGTTCACAGCAGTAAACTCTTGGGCATCTCCCAAAGTCATAGCTTTTGTATTTCTCCAACTGAAATTCAAGTTGCAAACACAGCTTAAAATATGACAAAAGCCAACATAATGAAGTAAAAGAAAGAACCGGAGAAACGACAAGAAGTTTACCATAGCAGATATTCCCTTGCCATTTAGTATGTAACGGACATACATAAGACCATATAACATCTCAGCTGCCGATACAAACAATTCATTGTCTTCTTCGGTCACCTATAAAACCCAAAAGTCATCTACTCAATGGCAAAAATAATGTGCGCTGACGGTAAAATTCAAAAGAGAAAACTTTTCAATAAAACAAGCACTGTTTCGAGCAAGTATTGGTTTCTGTGTGAATGACCAGAAAGATAAGACTACAGTTAAAATTCTACGTACTACCAAAAAAGTCACAATCCCTGGGTAAAGAAGTAACATAACCAGTTATGATACCATATATTAATATTAACATTCTGTGAGTTATAAGTCAGTCAACAGTCATATTATATAGGTCATAATTAATAAAACTACCAAAGTTAACACCGCTGTCTTATATCTTATTTCCCAGAAAACTTTTAGTTACCATCTGAAATTCTTTCCAGGCCAAACCAAAATACTCATGCCAAAGCAAAAAGAAGATTTATGTATTCATGGATCGAGGAGGAAAAAAATTCTAGTAATGACTGGTTTACAATTTGGAAAATAATAGAACAGACCATGTGTGAATAATGAATCGACAAACAACATTCATATGCTGCAATCCAAGTCAATGAAATGCTTACCATGAGAAGTTTCAACGTCCAGAATTAAATCAAGTGCATATTCATAGTACGGAACTTGACTGCTCAACCCACAAAGATTGAAGTCATCTTAAATGTATTCATCATCAACTTCACGGAAAAACTCATTGCCTCGCAAATTACAAAACCTTGAGATCCAAGACATGTCGTCTCCATCAGAACCACTAACATCAGATTCTTCACTGTATGTTTCAGATTGCTCTGCAATCATGAACAGTAATAGCAGGTAATTGAGAACAATCTCACATTTAGTACTTGCTTATCAATATCATTATCGTTGACCAAGATAGTTTCTGTTGTGTCCTACTTAAAAACTTGACAAGATGATTAAAAGAAACGAATTATAACTAGCGAAAACATGTTAATACTAAGATTTATCATCAGGGTTCTTTTAAAAATAGCTTAAGAGGACATGGCACAACCGCACAAAGCTTTAAATTAATGAAATAGAAAATAGAACGAAACGCATCAACTTTGAAAACTTTCCGGTCTGGAAATACAAGCATGCGTGTGTGTTTGAGCGTACAACTACCAACAAACTATTTTCAGCAAAACCAAAATTACAAGAAGTTGGCTTTACCAATGCACTGGTCTACTAAGATGAGGGGAAAAGGCAATAAAAGAAGTTTTCCCCCCTAAAAGCACAAGTAAAAAAAATTATTTTATTCAAATTTGATAAGTACCATCCTCTGAATACTCATTTTGTTTTGCTTTAAAAATCCTTGTGGAAAAAAAATTTTCACGTTATTTTCTAAGAAAAAAATCAAGTCTTCCAGTACCAAAAAAGCAACTTCAACCAAGGAGAAAAAGGAAGGGTTGCGGAGGGAACCAACATGTCGATGATTTCAATATTTAAGATTCAAAAGTGTAATAAAAAGATTAGAAATTGAATAAGGGAGGGAGTAGCTAAAGGCAATATATGGTGAATTCCATGCAACAATCATGGCATTTCAATCAAATAATTCTGAAGTCCTGCAATTATGATGGTGGATGTCATTGGGTTTTGAATTTTGAACCCAATGCAATGTTATGTTGCCATAGATAAAACTCACATGTATCCGTACTATTCTTCCATCTTTTCTGACAATTCACAATGCTTGAATTTGCAAGACACCCATGGCATGGGCAACTTAAATGCTTCCAAACTTAAATGCTTCCAAAAAGTGACCCAGGCTCTTCTTCTTTGATACATCCACTCTGCTTTCATTTGTAAGCGTTACCAAGCATCATAACTCATCTGAGAACCTGCAGTGAACATTCCAAAACATCCAAGGAATGTACAGCCAACATTTTCATGTATCATCCAACAAGTCCAGAAGGTAGAAAGTATGGGGCTTATTGTTTGATTTTTATTTTTTAAAAACCCAAGAAGGAATTGTTGTTTTAAAGCTACATTAATTAAACCCCAAGGGGTAGGAACACGATTCATCTGCAATGGCATGATACCTACGCACCTTTATGTTTCTTAATCTCATTTTATCTTATCTTTTAACAATAAAGTTTCCCGTCGAAAAGTTATCATTACAAAAAAGTGATAGTACAAGTTTAGGTACTTTCATATTTACAAAGACACAGGGTCTGCCCACCTTCTTTTGACCTCAGATTTCCATCTAACTTCCTTCAGCTTCCCATCTATACCATAATCTCGCTCCATAACAAGGTTGATCCCCTCATCCGAGTACCATCCAACTCCAATAGTGAGGGTGCCATCATTACTGACATCGACATAACTCGTCACACCGCCAGGCAGCCAAAGAACTGTAACATCCTGCATGTCTAGCACCTCTTCCTCTCTAAAGTAGCTTGAACTCTCGGGCAAGCTCCTCTTCTTTAAGGTTTCCATGCAAAGGTAAGCACAAGGGGCACCATTGCTTTCTACAGCTACAGTATCATCACCATATATCGGAGTGGCACTAACTTCAAACACCTTCCACAGCCCTACAAGTTCTGAAGGTCTAGTTCTTTTCCGTTGAGAAAATGGCTTCAAATCAAACTCTGGATCACCGTTCAAACTACATATAAACTCATGAAATCAGTTTCATCATGCAAAAGAATTATAGAACACGCAAACATAAAGATCACAACAGAGACGTAATAAAAGAATACCTTTTCTCACGAATATGTGCAGGACTCACCCACTCTTCTTCATAAACAGCAACTCTCATTATCTGTACATCTGAACCCCCATTATCAAACTCCATTGTATGAACAATACGAAGTCTTTTGTGGCAACCTTTGACCAAACACTGCACAATGAATCGAGCTGAATTCAGTAGTAAGCAACAAAATGAAAAAACGAAAAAACCATATCTTCCACCAGCCCTGCATTAATTAAAACAATGCTATCACACATGTTCAAATACAGGTTATCCAGAAAATCTCAAAAATATTAATACCATCAGAGTTTGGCACAATTACCTAAATATGAGAGATCGAGTCTTAAAGAGTAACATTTACAATTTATAAATGACATTTCCACATCGTCAACAACATGCATTATGTACTAACAGAATCGATTCCTCTGATTTTGCTGGCCTAGTTTGGAAAAGAAAAGAAAAAATGACACTTTTTTTTAATAAATACATGGCATGCACGAGCAAAATCAAATTGGATAATGCTTAGAAAACAACAAACATGGCATGGAAAACTTACTTGTTCAAATTTAAAAGTTGGAGAAAGGTAATAATTAGAGTCATCAACTTCACCAACAGGAATATCAAGGGGGCCTCTGGAATAAGATCCATCCTGTGAGTTGACAGTTAGACCAACAAGTAACAAATGTCAGAAATCAAATAAAAAAACAGAGGAAGACATTAATATTATTCACTAAAAAATAAAATGTAGAATTTAATGAATTGTTCACATCATCATTTCAGAAATTATCTAACAAATCTTTTCTAGTGGAGCGGTAAACAATAGTCTACTCTCGACAATCAGATTTCATATCCACTTTTTCTTTCTACGAAAAAAAAGTACTAAATGGCTAACTAAACAAATGAAAGGTTGAATAAATCATTTTCTTCACAGCAATACAGCATTGAATGAAAGTCTCGCATCTCAGTCATGGTTTTATAGCGATTACTGAAGAAAGGATGAATAAACTAACCTCAAAGAAAACAAGACCAGGCTCATTGTCCATGACATCTTCTTCCATCACATCACTAATTGTCAAGTCAAAAGACCCAAATTTAGGCAAAACATGATTTGTCGTACCATCACTGGCTTTTTCTTTCAGTGGCGAAGTTGCTTTCTCGACTCTGGACTCTTCCATATTTCCAAGGCTGACACCAACATGTTCTGGAACTTCACCATGTGGATTCAGGGTAACCCAATTTATCTTCCTATGGATTTCAGAGGTCTTTCCAGAGGGAGGAAAAATTGCCTCAACATGGGTAAGCACGTAGCAGTCATATAGGTTTTCGTTCCTGTTTCCAATCTCAATTGGCTCCATTTCAGCAGTAATGGGAGAAAACACCGCTCCAACCCCCTTCCATATCCCACTCACGCTACTAGCAAATGTATTCCATGCCGGTTTGATTACAGGTTCCTGAAACAAGACATAAGAACCAAAGAAACAACTTGATCAAATAAATCCATTTATACTGATAAAGAAATCATTCCCCCCTTTCTGATGGCTCTCAAATCTCAAGTTTCTTTATGGAAAAGGAAAACCATAAATAATTCTGCATCAAACATGAGATTAGTACATTCCAATGGGAGCTAAAAAACTAGAACCTTCATGCCGGTGCTGGATATTAAGAAAATATATAATTGAAGCACCAAGAAAAAGTAATCATATTTTGATAGCTAGCAAATTGGAAACTTAAAAATTCATGACCAACTAGAAGCCATGCAAACTCTAGGTCAATTTTTGCTTCGTTCTTTTACTTTGGGACGAGTGGAGGGAATTGCCAAAAGCAATGAACAGCTTCCAAAAATAACCTCAAAATAAGTTGTAATTGAAACAAACTGTGAAGTTGTAATTGTAATTGAAACAAACTGTAGTAGCATAGCACCAAATACCATAATTATCCCATTTCGAACAGGTTCGAACTAAACCCTTCCAAAACATGTCAAATCCAGCAGCACATCATCTATATCTCCAACACAACAACTAAAGTAATATACAAGTAAAGCACATCTGAAACTTGACTTCAGCTTCTGATTGAAGTCATGGGCCACTCCATGTTCCCAGCAACAATCATATCGAGATATTGTTCCGTATATATATATTAAAGGGCGAATTTTATTAACAGTTCACATCAATTGTTCCACTTCCACACGAAGAATTCATAAGGCACAAATATAAGAGAAATAGTAAATAAATACCTGAGTTTGTAGAACAGTTTCTACTTCCATTAACATAGCAGCAGAGACCAAAACTCTTCCCATCTTCTTCTTCCGATCACTAACCACTCTCTTTCCTTTTCTCCTCCTCCTCTGCTTTGTACTTTCTCTCCCTTTCTCTTTCTCAGCTTTCGCCCTCTCATTATCAATACTCCAAACGTTCTCTTTCTTTCCCTTCACTGTCACTTTCCCTATGGGGTTTGTGTTGTTGTGGCTATTACCGGGTCGATTCTGGCTGTGGATTCCGAGTCTTTTGTTAGAAGCCTTGGGCTTAGGAAAATTGCATGTGAGAAACGGGGAAGAGGAGAGTAGTAAGTTCTGAGAATTTGGTGGGTGAAAATGAAAACCTAAACAATAATTCTTGCAAAGGGGAAGACATGGTGATAGCATATCTTCGGAGATGGATAATTCCTTCACACCAACAGGCTACGAAGAGCAGAAATAATGGTAGTTAAAGGGCCTATTGCATCAGCCGAATTGTTTCCCCTAAAGTGTTTTTAGGATAAACTATACGAGTAACCACTCAGCTACTGCCTCTTTTTATTTTGATCACCGTTTAATTTTAGAAGGAGCAAGGCGCACCGATTGCAAAATGACTATCAGAAGCCGAATGATGATAATTTGCTCCGGCAAATCGGAAAAGGTGTAAAAGAACCAAAAGCTGAGTAGCTGAGGGCTTCCTGTATGCTTTGACTAAATCATAAAAAAGTAAAACAGACCCAGAAACAAAAAAAACCCCTACTATTACATGATATGTACAAAAATCCAAACTTTTTATTTCATACACAAAAATTTCACCAAAAAAGAACGAAAAATGGAGAAAAAATAGAAATGAACAAATCACAGATAAAGAAAAAAAAAAGAGCAAAGAAGCTAGGAGGAGATTCGCAGCAAATTAACTAGTAGGAGTTATTATTTACCTGATTTATCGGTGGAATTTGGAGAGGAATTTCAGGAGACGTGATTTTTGGTCTTATTATTGATAGGGTAAATTATTCATTTCGTACATAAACTATCAGTTTTTGTCATTTTAATACCTAAACTTTCAATTTTTTAAAAATATAACAAAACGTTCGTGATAATTTTTTAATATTTTTTTAAATATGTCAACAATAAAATAATATTTTTTATTATTTTTGTTTGGCCAATTGGATTATAACATGTTTCACCATCCTATGAAATCAAGCCAACAAAATTGTGCCCAGCCAGGGATGAAGGAGCAAAGGCTTAGCCAGGGAATTTAATCAAATAATATTAGATAATTAACTAATAATTTTATCTAAATAAAGATATTTTATTTAAAATTGAAACATTTATAATTAAAATATTAAAAAAATGAAAGGTCACAATAATTATTTAGTCAAATATTAATGATTAGTTTCGAACTTATAACTTATAAAAAACATTTGTATATCTTTGATAATTATTAATATAAAATTAATTTAAAAAATAAAAGTAACCAAGCCAACTACAAATTAATATATTAAGTGATTAAAAGATTTATTGTTATTCATTAAAGTCTCGAGTTTAAACATCGTTTATACAAATATATAAACATTCATTGTAAAATAATTAAAAAACTTTAAACAATATATTCATCTCAAATGTGTTAAATGTATATATAAAGAACAAATCCAACTACAAACTAATATGTCTTTTATCTTAGGATTGTTACTCGTTTAACCAGGTAACTTGAGTTGGAAAACGGTGTCGTATTTGGATTTGCTTGAATCCTTCGCATCCGCATTATTCTGAATTTTATTATTGTTTTTCAAAGTAAAGTTTTTCAATTTAACCAATAGCAGTAAAACACCGCTCTGCGAGAGAGTACCTAAAAGCAAAAACAAAAAGAATAGCATTGATCCACAATAGCAACGATTTTCTAGGGTTTTTTTTCCCGTATCAGTAAGCAATGGCGATGGCTGCTCTCAGACGTGAAGGGAGACGTTTCGCCCCTCTGATCTCTTCCCGCCCAGTCACGGCCGTCCGATCCTCTCCTTTCGCTCCCTCTCACGAGTACCGATCTCTCAACTCATCATTTCATGCAATCTCGCATTTTTACTTATCTTTCCTTGATTTTTTCTTCAATGTTTAACAAACCAGGTAAAAAAATCTTTGTTTTTTTTGTCTATTTCTCTAGCTGAAGACCCGAATGCTATTTGTTTCTCTTTGCTTTCTTGATAATCGAACGGAAGATATTTTCTATTTCGCGTTTTTAGAGTGATTCGATTTCCCACTGTTTCTGAACAAATTAAAGTTTTGCATAATGTACTTTCGGGTTTTTTAATGGCGCTTTATTTTCTTTTGCGATTGAATATGTCTAGAATTGTGCTAAACGGTTGGTATTGTGGCGTGTTCAATTACTCAAAAGAATGAGAAAAATATGAATATGTCAAAATTTTGATTGAACCTTGTAGGATTTATAATGAAATTCTTATTTTTGCAATTTCATTTTTTGATATGTTGTGAACTACTAAATAAATTAATTTGGATGACAGGGATGAGGGTCGGATTGGTTTTCGTTATATTTCAACTCAAATCGGTAGGGTTTGTTTGATTTTCTCTTTGTTTTTTTTTCAATATTATGTTTTATATACTTGCTTGTTACTTTTTCTCTTAGGGTCAGAGTTCTTGATGAAGGTTTTAACATGGGTGATGATCAATTATTTATGCAGTTCGAAACCGGATGAAGAGTGTTAAGAATATTCAGAAAATCACAAAGGCTATGAAGATGGTTGCTGCCTCAAAGTTGAGAGCAATTCAAACTAAAGCTGAGAATTCCCGAGGCCTCTGGCAGCCATTTACTGCACTTCTTGGCGATCTACCTAGTATGTCCTCTAACAAGCCTCTTATATGTTCCCTTTACTGAACAAATTCAAATTCAATTGAATTTGGTTGCATTCTCATTTCATTTTCCTAATGTTTGTTATCTCAAGTTGTTAATTGTCACTTTGTGCTCTGCTCTCCCATTTATGTTGAACTGGTGTTCATGTTGTCAATTATATGATGCAATGGCTTAGTTTTCCATCATACACTCTCTCCCTAGAAGGTTTATGCAAATGTAACTTTGGTTTTTGATTGTTGACAGAACAATTCTGCAGACAAGATGTACTTTTATAAATGCTTCTTAGTTTATAGCACCATATGTTTGAAAATCATGTGTTATATTGATATGCATTATTTGGTTAAAAGAGGCTCTGGTTATTAAATACTGGCTCTGTATCAATAATACCTTGCTTGATCAGTTAATAACTAATATTACTTGGTTCAGGTTAAAATAGAGTGGTGTTTTATGCATAGTAGCGAATAAACTTAAGTTTTACAAATCTGGATGCTAAAGAGTAACTAAAGTGTGAGTGTCGAATATAGGAGTGTTCGATATGGGTATGCCCAATTTTTTTAAAAAATTTTTCCATATATTTGGAAGCATCTTGGAGGGTTATATCCCAATGCCCATGTCTGAAAATTTGTTGGACACAAGTGTTGGTCTTAAATACTTAAAAGGAAAATGAAGAGTTGAAGCAACATAGAATGGGAAGTGTTCTAACTTTGATCTGTTAATTAACCATACATAACATGCTTTTGAAATTTAGGGCATAGAGCCTTTGACTGTTTACCATCTTGTTTTATACCTCTGCTATATTGTTTAATAATCTTTTACGGTTATATGTATCTAAAATGTATTTTTCAGCCTCATTTTATTAATATTTCTTGTCACATTGTTAGGTGTTGATGTCAAGAAGAGCGTTGTTGTAACCATCTCTTCTGACAAAGGTCTTTGTGGTGGAATTAACTCGACATCAGTCAAGATAAGCAAGGGGGTCCACAAGCTGAACTCCGGTATATCACTAAAGCAACTTAATATTTTCTGCTTTTTTTCTGTGTGTGTTCTTTAGTTGATGTCCTCTTGGGACTTCTTATGAGTTAAATACCTTTATCCGCATAGGCCCTGAAAAAGAAACAAAATATGTAATTCTGGGAGAGAAGGCTAAGGCTCAATTGATCCGTGACTCTAAGAAGGACATTGAGTTGGTCATAGCTGAGCTGCAGAAGAATCCTTTGAACTACACTCAGGTCTGTTATTGTGCTTTTATTTGCATTTGACAGTTTCCCAATGAGAGAACCTTTTCATACAAGTTGAAAATTTGATAGCTAGATTGAATGCTTGATTCATTCATTAAGGCCTTCTTTTGGTCTCCTGGGAACAGGATATGTTGATGCAACATCTTAAGTTTAAGTAATTGTACTGGTTGTTGACTGTTCCCTATTGGTTCAGTCCAGAAAATGCTATATCAGGGCAAATCTGGATCTATGATTGGCAAGAACCCTAAATTTGATAATCTGAGATAATTAATGTTTGTTGATTTAGAAAGGAGAGGCTCCATTTTGATGGTGAAAACACAAATAAAGGTTCAATCTACAGGCTGCCTAGGGAAGTGAATGGTAGCCATCACAGTAATTTAAGGTAGGGTTGATATTTGCATGATAGATGGTTAATCCGACAGTGTTAGAAAACAAAAATAAGAAGAGGATAATATTCAGGCTTAACACCTAGATCTCCTCACTTTTCGCATTAAAGACGTTAAAGGCCTCACATTTAGGGTTAGGAATATCTTCATATTTAGGCCTCATACAATTTTTCTTTATCAGTTGAACAAGCTAGTGTGTACATTATTGATTTTCAGATATCCTCCTCACACTGAGTTGATTTCCAAAGTAGTAGCTATTAAAATTGATTAAATGAAATTCTAAACTATGAAGTAAATTATAATAATGGAAGGAAACCTTTAAAGGACCTTTAGTTTCGAATTCTAGACTAAGAGAAACAAAACATTAACACACTAATCTTCTTTTTAGTGTTGTAGAGGTTGTGGTTGACTGTCTTAACCTTTAACCTTTGGTTTCAAATTCTAGACCAAGGGAAACAAAACATTAACACATTAATATCAGTTTTAACTTAAATAGTATCCAATCACCTAACATCAAATGAAGACTATAATCTGGACTTCCCTCAATCCACTCTTTTGTTCACCTTATCTTGATAAATATCTGGCTTCTTTTTAGTGTTGTAGAGGTTGTGGTTGACTGTCTTAGCCATTGATCTCTTGAATGAACTGGAATTTTCTGATATACAGATCTCTTTTTTATGGATTTTTTTCTTTTCTTTTCTCCATACATACAAATATTTTGTTCACCTTACCTTGATAAATATCTGGCTTCTTTTTAATGTTGTAGAGGTTGTGGCTAACTGTCTTAGCCCATCGATCACTTGAATGAAATGGAATTTTCTGATAGATGGATCTCTTTTTTATGCAAATTTTCTATTTCTTTTCTCCATGCTCACAAATATTTTCACCTTCAGGTCTCTGTTCTTGCTGATGAGATCTTAAAGAATGTGGAGTTTGATGCTTTGAGGATTGTTTTCAACAAGTTTCACTCTGTAGTTTCATTTCTACCAACAGTGTCAACTGTATTATCACCCGAAGTGAGTGGAATTTTCAGATTGATAAATATTTTTTCCCTGGTTAGGCGCTGCTCTATATATTCTCTTCTTGCTGCTTTATTTGTATAGATTGTTGAAAGGGAAGCTGAATCTGGGGGAAAGCTTGGTGATCTAGACAACTACGAAGTTGAGGGTGGTGAGACAAAGGGTGAAATACTTCAAAATCTGGCTGAATTCCAGTTCTCCTGTGTATGTCCTGCTGTTTGAAACAAGCGTCCTTATTTCTTGTTATTCTGCATGGAAGTCATACCGTGATGTCATGAACTATAACTTAATAAATGAATCCCATTTTTCAAATTTGTGAATTTGACATGATACTCTTGGTTGTTGAGAGCTGTTTTATGATGACAAAACCTCATTCCATGTGCTATTCATTAATACAAATATTCCTTTGATTTCTGAGTTAAAAGTAACCTTATCTAGTAAAAAATCTGCCAAAAAATATGAAATTTTTTATTGTTTTCATTTTTCCCCTTTTCCTTATCTACTGCTATGTGCCTGCTGCTAATTGCTACAGTCTGTAATTTACCTTAAAAAGAATTTTTGTATTTCCCCCAGGTCATGTTCAATGCGGTTTTGGAGAATGCTTGTAGTGAGCAAGGGGCAAGGATGTCTGCTATGGATAGCTCAAGCAGAAATGCTGGCGATATGCTTGATCGCCTTACTCTTACATATAACAGGTCTCGTGCCTCTCTTGTTTTTATAAACGTGAACTTTCACGTGAAACGGTTTCTACACTTGATTATTATTCTGTTCTTGGGCATGTGTTATCGAACTTCATTTAGTTGCTATAACTTTTTACTGCTTTTTCATAGCTGAAGTAGATATGTGTTGGTCGTATTTGTGTGTTACAGAACCCGTCAAGCTTCGATCACCACTGAGTTGATTGAGATTATATCCGGAGCATCAGCATTGGAGGGTTGATTTCAAATATTTTTCCGATAGTGACGAAATAAAAATCAGTGTACTGTTCTCTGGACATGGTGGAGGTGCTTCCTTTTGAATGTTTTGTTGAGGTACTTAAATAATCCCCCAGTAATACATCTTCCTTTCTGGGAATTAATGTACTTTGTGATGGTTTTAAATTTCAACAGCCTTTGACAAGGACAATTCTATGTTTTTGGAAGGATGTTTTCATCTAAAATAAATCCGCTTTGATTTTATTTTGGTATTTCTTCCAACTCCTTGCGATTGCGAATGAAAATATTGGGGATGGTAAATTTTGTTTAATGCATATATCCAATATCAGCCCCACTATTTTGTTTTAAGCACAACATAAACTAAATAATACAAATATGAAACAGAAAATAATTAAAATACATAAAATGTGAGGGTAAATTACCTGTTGATTGTATTCCGATAACTGAGCCAGAGTTTGTTAATTAATTATTAAAATTTTAATTAGATTTTAAAAGTAAGATCAAATTGATAGAATGTGCAAATAATAAGGATCATATATGTCGTTATAGAAATTTACTTATTTGTCATGTCAACAATTCTAACAGTTCACGATCTATGAGTTAATTGAAATCAAATTGAAAGCTAATTGACTTAAATGATTTTTTTTGTTTAGTGGTCAAAATAAAATTAACCCTATAGTTTAGTAACTAAAGAGGTAGTTTACCCAAAAATAATATGAATGCAATATTAACGTGTTTAAAGTAAAATGCATGGTTTCTTAAAATATAGTTATGTTAAAAAAATAATAGTACATGAATTGACTACCGTACAAATATACAAATTGTTGTGTATTAATTAGAAGAATACCAACCAAGAACATAAACTCTTACGTATTTTAAAATTTTCATATTGATCTTGAAAATATCCATTTTCTAGTTTAAATGTTGTACAAAGAATTTATATTTTCACGTTGAAGTTTGCAAGAAAACATTAATTATAAAGAAAAACGCCATAAAGAATGCTAATAATACTCCTTGTGAAACACAAATCTTGTGTTGGTTTTGGTGGAAAATTTGGTGCACAACTTCTCCAACTCTCTGGCTAACGCCTTTGGTCCACAGTAGAAAACGCCTGCTCCAAAACCTCACTTCTAAATTCATGTTTGTATTAAAAAAAATATGATTCATTAAAAATAAGAAATAGCGTATCGGATACATATTTATATATGATACTCGCACTCGAATATAAGTAATATAGATATTATATGAGCTTTTTCTTACCAATCCTAGCCCCTCTATGTCTCCTAGCCAGTTTTGAGAAGATGTTGAACCAGTTTGGTCGACCAAATTGTGTGTGTACCTGAAAAATCTCATTACTTTGACATTACAAAACTTTGTTTTTGTAAATATATGATATTAACATAATATAAATACATAAATTATCCAAGTCCGATCGAGTTCGTGCTCACCGGAGTTCGAGAGATAATATCAATTCCATACTTGGCTTGATACAGAGATTGTATAACGGTGATGAAAGCCGACCGAGCATCACCCTCTTGATATACACTGGTTAGGAAATTGAATATCTCTACAACAGACTAAACAAATAGATATTTTATCAAACACAGTCTAAGCCTAATAACTGGCTTTGCATACACGCTTTTAATTTGTTTGTTCTCATAAACATTGGCTCTTGATGGAACAAGTTCAATGGACCGTCCGGTCTGGTTTTTTAGATGATGGATGAAGAATGACTAGAGATTCTCACCTGCTTTTCGTTTGCTTCAGCTATTTCCTTCATAACATCCATGAACCAATTAAAAGAGCTTTGTTCTCTTGTAACCCAATAAAGATAAGCTTTGAATGGTGTCTTCTCAAGGCTGCCTTCTCCACAAGCTGCCTACATTATGTTCACAACACTTGTAGTCAATCGAAGAACATAGTTCATTTGCTATGTTATTCTGACTCGAATATGATTCTTCAAATGTTCAAACAAGTTATATATAAAAAAAAGCCTTATCCGTGTCAAACACGTACTTGTACCGAACACTCGATATTTGTAATAAGAAGATATGAAGAACAGAAAAGGGTGGAAGTTATTTACATGATTAATGGTGGAGTTGTTGAGGCGGGTAGCAATATCTTTGAGGATGCTAATGAAAGGTGTGATTCCTATGCCAAGGCCAACCATTACCACAATATCATACTTAATGTGGTCTTGAGAAGAAGCTCCATATGGTCCATCAATATAGATTTTTGGGTGCTGCTTTGGTCCTGTTATTTTTGCCTAAAAAATGGAAAATAAAATAGTAAAACTTGAACATACTCGTACATTATACATATATTCTCGTATTTTAAACTCACATTCGAATTCGAATAGTAATATTTACCTCCCGGAAGAGACCATATAGCTGATAGCTCCAATCCCCAAGAGTTCTGATATGCACACTTAAGTAATCATCTTCTGGTCCACAAGTTAGGGAAAATGGGTGCCTGATAACCAAATATCATTCAGGGTGGTGCAGAATAGCATTGAACAATTAGCTTGTAAAATATCATAATAATATCAACTCATGTTTTACCATTCAAAGGGTGAAACTTGGGGGCATTGAATGAAAATATACATGCCACTCTTGTGCCTAAAACCTTGTGGTTTTTGCAGTTTTAGAGACAACACCTTCCCCGGATATAAGCTCACCTGCAAATGGTGTTCAGAAACAACAAAGAGATTTTTCTTTAACATTTTTATGAAGGTGGTAATATGCATATTTCGGAGAGAAAACGTTTCAAACAAATAAAAAGAGATGCGTCTGAATTCAATCCTACTCAGTGTTTCAGGATCTACTCCATTAATCTTCCTTTCTTGTGTGAACTTGTAAAAATTTAGGGACGGACCAGATTATCAATAGAAACTTGCGTTATATGAAGCATACCTTCAAGAATTTAACTTCAGAAAACCCTGATCTTATAGCTCGAATCATCCTCTCTCCAGCATATAGTAAAACCGGAATGGCAATGTACATCCATGTCTATGTAAGAACATTCTTAACATCACAACTCATGTCATAGTTAATCAAATACGAATACAATTTTTTAAAAACTCCGATATAAATATTTTAAGAAAAATAAAGAATCGGAGCAACATAGTAATATGCTTCTTTATAGTAATCCTCTCTTTTGCTATAGCTATGTAACTCAGCTACAAATGCTATATATGAGTGTTTGGTATGAATATTTGAAGTAAAATGGCATGGAATTTCAATATTTAGGAAATCAACGACTTATATGAGTTATATCATAACATAAAATTACAAACAATCTTATAGATTCATAAGATTCTTACCGTTTTTTCAGATAAATTATCTGTGAGGAAGAGGAACATTGAGTGAACAATGAGCAAAGCATACACCAGAACAAACAGATGATGGGAATACCAAAACGTATTATATCCAGTGAACTTTCGGATGGATCGAGGAAGTGCCGGAGACCGGCGTCGAGGCCAGTTGGTCGCTAATGTAAATGCTATCATCATTAAGATCACCATGGTAATCCCCGTTGCAACCTCAGTTGTGGCCAATATCTGTAAATACGACGGTTGCTGGTACCCGAATCCAGCTGGCTATAGTTTGTCGAAAAACCGAACGATCTGATCCACTAATTCTTGGGAAATCACAGGCCAGATGTGTGCCCCCATGGAGAATAACACCAATCACTATTCCTCCTGCAATTAGCTGCAAAATGGAGCTTTCCCACACTGAATAATTCCAAGAATTCTAACTGGATGCAAGGATTGTCGAACTATATCAGAGTCGAGCATAATCCGACAATCCTTGCACAATTGATATACGAAGAAAGCGAGGACTTACTTTGTGGAAGTTGATGTTGTCATTGAAGGGAATAACAGAGTTAAACCCTGGATTCTTGCGCAGCCATGTGATTGTATTTCGACAAACGGGTAGAAGAATGAGAGCCATGTTTAATTTCAAGGTCTCGGCAGCTCCCTTGGCTGTGGATAAACAATACCCCATGACTTGAAAGGCTGAGCGATGACTGTACTGGATGAATTTCCATGTGAAAAGTGTAAAGCAAATCATTAACCACAACAGAATTATCCATGCTCGTCTCCAGTATGAACGAAACAATATCTCGGCCTTTGATAAAGAGACTTGCTTTTGATGATGGTGACGACGATTCTTCTGATATGAAATGGTTGAGGAGCCTTTTGGTAAGTGTGCTTTGAAAAGAGCTTCAAGATCCGATGGCTAAACCGAAAAGGAAATCACCATTATCATCTAAATCTAAATTAAACAATTCATAGAATATCAACTTCTTTGAAATGGATAATCCCATTCTTGAACTGTTAGAAGAGTAATAAAATGAGAATGAAATGAAATACCTGAATATAGCCTTGATGTTCAATGTCAAGGGCTTCCATGATTAAAGCAGCGTATTCTTCAGCTTCCTTGTGCTTTATTGACAACTTATTTATGGGACATATCAACGATATTACCTACCATTTTTGTCCAAATCAAAATACAAATATTACATGATTTTACTTGTTCATCAACTTATAAAATTTTAAATTCCAGCCGAGTTTTACTTCTCTTTAACACCATTGTGATTATAACATACAGGAGAAAGAGTCACCATATACAGTGGGAGGAGCCATACCCCAAATGTTTCAGGTTTAATTACTATTTTAATCCTCTTAATTTTGAAGTTAGATAATTTAGATCTTGACTCCTTTCAATTTTAAGGTTTAACTAATTTTGAAGTCCTCTTAGTTTTTAAACCAGGCAAATTAAACTGTGGCTTCTCAATTTTTGAGATAAATTGCTTCTTAGATTCCTTTTAGTTTTGAAACTATACAAATTAAGCCCCAACCATCAATTTTTCAGTTTAAATACTTCACTATCAATTTCAAATTAAGTAAATTAGACCCTAACTCCCTAATTTTTTAATTTTAAAATTAATAACTTAATAATTAGACTCTAATCCTCATTTTATTACTATTTATATTTGTTCCATGAAGTTTCAACCTAACTTAGTTCTTGAGGATAGAGCGTGCTTAAACACACAATAATCTCCAACTTATGAATAGTTTAACTATTGTATAAAAAAATTAAATAAATTTACAACACTCAAATTGGTGTAAAATTTATGAAAATAATATAAAGAATATGTTGAAATCT